TTCTTTAAATTGTATTTAATTTATAAATATGAGCAAATTTACACTGAGATGTCTGTGCTCTCATTTTCATTTTCATATTTTGGAGAAAGATTGATTTATTTACATTCTTCACAGGCTTTTTTTTTTTTTTTATCATTTAAAAACTTGCAAGGTAGGAACAGTAAAACAAGAAAAGCCTGGTGGATTTGGTTAGATTACATTATTTCAGCAGCAGACTCATTATTTTTCTACCTAACACGAACCTTTAACACCTTATCAACTAAACAGTGTTTTCTGTACTGCCTTTTGCTCCAAGAATGCATATCAGGCACTGAGTCAAAATGTCTTCAATGGCTCCAAGTGTTATCTCAGATCACCAACGTCCCTCATGCTGACGGACTCTTTTCTGTGTGTGTTCAGGAGTTTCCTGCATCTGGGCGCGGGGCTGAGCGTGGGCCTCAGCGGGCTGGCAGCAGGCTTCGCAATCGGCATCGTGGGCGACGCGGGCGTGAGGGGAACAGCTCAGCAGCCGAGGCTCTTCGTGGGCATGATCCTCATCTTGATTTTCGCAGAGGTCTTGGGTCTCTACGGTCTCATCGTCGCCCTGATCCTCTCCACGAAATAAACAACCCAAACATCTCCACTACAAAGATCTGTCCTTTATGTTGCTGCTGGAGAATAAGTGTAAAACGGGGAAAAAATTGTAAAAAAGTCTGCCGCTCGAGATGAAAGAAGTGAAGGCGGGGAAAAAATGAATTAAAATGGCTCCATAAATATGGTCTTATCTCAACAATGTGTACAGTTGTCCCAATTTGATAGTCAACTTGTAAATGCGCAATGTAGTGATTCGTCTGTCGTGTGAGTGTGTGTGTGTTTCAAAATTGTATGATGAAGATTCCTTTTTTCCCTCCACTTATTTCAGGCCTTGAGGCAAGCCGAGGCAGCTTGTCTGGTCTTAGAGAGCTGACCACAGGCCGCACAGCTTCTCCTCCTCCCCACACACCTGGGAGTTGACACAATTTCTGCATTAATCTTGAGGATCTATTTGTAAAGAGAAATGTATATGGACTTACGATTTTTTTTTTTCAACTGATTTTATTTATAAGAAATTGTTCATTGAACTGTTTAATGCAGCAAAAGTCTTTAATTCCCCAGGATATATTATACATATATACAGACATATATATATATATATCTACATAGATTTAATGCACTGTGGGTTAATTGTGATAAGTGGTTGGAATTCCTTCTGGATGTAACTCATGGTTTAATAATTAAGATTGCCTTTAGTATGTTGCTGGTGAAGTTGGAGTTTTCTGTGTAGCTGTATTCTAATCATTACGCAAACATTCTCAAACGTCAGTGTTTTTCCTGTAGTACTGCTGTTTGCATTAAAGGTGTGTGTGCCCCGTGATGGGTCTCACAATGTGTAATTTCCAAATTTCATCTCCATCTTATTCACCCCCCCCCTCCCTCCTCATCTGTGGCTGTAACTCCATCTCTTCCACATTCCAGCCATTAAGATCCTGCATGGGTTTCAGTGTTTTGTTGCTGTTGGATATGAAGCGGAAGAGCAGGCTAGTTTCAGAAGATTTAATCCAGATCAAAAAGAAAAGAAACTACTTCCTGTTTAAAAAAAAAAAAATCAAGTTTAAATGACACAAAGACTTGGTGTTTGTAGCATGCGGCAGGAACCCAGTGAGATTAGTGTTAAGTTTGGCCTAGTTTCACTCAAGGACCGGTCCAATTTGATCTGGGGTTTGTTTTCTGAAAGTGGAGCTGCTGCTGACGCATTAACTAAAGAGCCAATCTACAATCCTGTATTACCACTGATATTGAAGTTATCCTGATGTGTCGACGTGTGTCACAATCGAATTAAAGAAGATTCCAACTTAGATGTGACTGGCTTCAAACGCATAATGGATGTATATTCTACAGTGACACTTACACAGGAAGCATGACATGACATGCACTTTTAGTAGCATCATTATGTTCATGTCTTCCTGTTACACTTGTAAATGTGGTTAACACATCAACAGATGTGACTTAACACTGACATAAGTTCACACAAAGCCTGCTCTGTACATTTGGCGGATACTGACATTAGGTATAAAAGGTTTAAGAAAAGAGTTAAAAAGCAGATAATTAGTAAATAGTTTAATGTTAAACTGTACAGGACAAAAATGCAACATGGAAATCATCCGGACAATCACTAACATTTGTATTACAATGTACATTTTACAGAGCCTCTGTTCAAACGTAAACCATTTTGAGCAAATGTAATCTTGGTTCAAGATGTTTGGAGGCTGCTGAGCAGAGTCTGAGCGATGCTGCTGATGGCACTGAAGGTGGCACTGTCGGGAAACGACTGCATGAAGTCTTTGCCCTCCTCTAGGCTGGTGCTGAGCAGAGGATCCAAGGGCACAGAGCCTGAAATTGACAAAACATGATGTTGATTAACCACACAACGTTATGCCTTAAAGTACCACTCCCAAGGGATTCAGTAATTCATGATAAATAGTGAGAGTCAAGTGGATGTTAAGGGATATTCACTAATCAAATACTTCCCTGTGTAAAGCAGCACAGACACAGCTGGCTTGCCACAGGGTGATCTGAATTAGCTGCATCATTACTCAAGAGATTGATCTGCATACAAGGCTGATAATCCCTTAGGGCAACCATTAAATGATCTATTAATTTGACCCAGACCTATTGATGAGTATGCATCAAGCCCTCACTGAGGTATTTCTAAACCTGCTGTGAAAATCTGAAATCCCGATCGACCATTTTAGCAGCATGGCAGTGATGTAAAATGCTTTCGAAATCATGAATGGAGGGTGAGGGGGATGTCACAGTGTGGTGTGACACCCTGTGGCTGGAAGCTAGCATTACATTTGATTCAACCCCACTGGACTCACCGAGGAATATTGACCCGGTCAGTTTGGCTAACTCTTCACCTCCACCTTTTGAGAATATGTTGCTGCACTCCTGAAAAGAGAGAATATTTGTTAAAAGTATTTTTTGGGAGATCTAAATTGAGTACGTTTTTAAAACAGGTAATACAGTAATTTATTGTAGAGGTTTTTTCTGTCCTTCATTGTCTGACTTTGATGCACATTACTGTAACTACAACTTCATTAGGAATTATTGATATTTCATTTCTGAACTGTACAAAGGTTTACTTACTGAGCAGTGTGGACAAACAAACCCGCTCATGTTCTCGATGATGCCCAGGATCCGTACCCCTGTTTTCTTACAGAAGGTGATCTCTCTCCTCACATCTCCTGTAGAAACTGCCTGTAACCAACACATAACAGGAAGAACAATCATCACTGGATATCATAGGTTTAGGGTCTTGTTTATAGTTCAATAAATAGCAGCTCAACTGGCTCACATAGACAAGTGAGCCACAGTGCCCTTCACGCTACTCTTTAAATTTACTTTTAAACAGACATGTAAAACCATATAATTGTATGTTGTTGCAAAGTTACATTTGTCAGTGAATTCGCCAGTTTTAGTTGGTTTTCTAACTCCTATTATGGACTGTAAGATCTCTGCAGCCTAGTGTATACCTGAGGTGTGGTGACCAAAACAGCTCCATCCAATCTGTGTTTTTTAAGGTTGTCCAACACCGCCAAATGCTCGTCAGACGTGCCTGGCGGGGTGTCGATGAGCAGCACATCCAGCTCTCCCCACGCTACATCCGACACAAACTGGCCAATCAAAGCTGTGAGACGGGACATTCAGAGAAGGAGAGGATATTGGTTGAGGAAGGTGTTAGAACCGTGTTTAAACCATGCCCCACACGTTTTTTCTTGAGACACAGAAGAATAGGAGAATAGTTTACCTGTTTTCTTGGGCCCCCTCCACACCACTGCTTCGTCTGGGTCCTCCAGCAGGAAGCCGATGGACATGAGGGCGAGGCTCTTGTCTGCATCAGTGTAGACCGGCACCCATCCTGAGTCACACTGGTGCACGTCAGTCCGTCCCACATTCAGCATGCGGGGGATACTGGGGCCACAGAGGTCAATATCCAGAATGCCAACCTGATGAACACAGAGTAATATTAGTAAGTCCATTTACTTATGCTTACTTTTCCCTAAAACTATGTATTGCGTACAGGTATAAACTGATTATTACTGGTAGTCACATTGCAATTAAATAATGGGGAGCAACATACTGACTGTTTATTATGTGTTCTTGCATGCATTACAACCACGTGTACAGTGTTAAATGACACTCTGCTGAACATACCCTCAGCAGGTCTTTGAACTCACCTTGTTGCCAGCATGCCTGAGAGCCAGGGCTAACTCTGTGGTGATGGTGCTCTTTCCCACTCCTCCTTTCCCCGACAGCACCAACACAACATGCCGGACTTGGGACATGCCCCCGTCTCACATGAAAAGGAAAATGAGGTTTATTACGTCATGAACGCAGCAGATACATGTAAAGTTAGTACTAAAGTTATGTCGCAGTTATGAAAGGGAGCACCTGAGTTCAGAAGTTCAACGTAACTAGGTGAGAGTTCGATATACATAACATTAGAAACTATATCATAACTTTTTGTATCAAGTTTAGCTTCTCCGAGGATATAGAAGTATTTCGGTAAGCTCCTATTTAGCAGCTGAAAGAGCTGAATCTTTCAAACGTAAGCCTATTTCTAATTAGCTCCCGCTAGCCGGTTAGCTAAGCTATAAATGCGTAACTAATATACAACAGTCGGCAGTTTCTAACAGCTGCCATCAATAAAGAACAATGATACGACCTAAATATAGGAATGTAACCTTCTGATGAACTTTGTTCACGGGTAACTTTGACTTACCATTATTTTGTTCCATGTTTTGGATTTGATGCATGTACCGAATTCAACTACTTCCGTATAACCCCGTGCCACCTAGCCAATCACACAGCCCCTGTTACAGATAAGTCCCGCCCCTTTTCCACCACCACCAATGGGCTGTTGGTGCGCAGCATGGAGCATTTACTCACACTGCAAGAGCTCTCAATTTATGGAATAATGAGTTTTAGTGTTTCTGTCAGCAGAATGTTTAGATGTCGTGATAAAGTGAGAACGATTTGCACTGGATGCGAATATACAGTTTATTGTTAGATAAGAACATGTAAATAAACTCCTCCCTCTATGAGTCTTATCCAATAAGTACACGATGAGGGCGTGGAGAAGTAATGTTTACTTCTGGCTTGCTGCGAAGTGGGACAGAGTGTAAACTGCACCTGTCACACTGTAGCATACTGAGAAACACACTGGCATTCACATGAGCCACTGCAAGACGGTGAATAGGACGACTACTGTAAGGTAAGAATGCTAAAATGTATTCAGGCTGTATTGTGGTTTACTTAGTTTAGTATCTGAGTTCAGATGAATATGCATAACAGCAAAACATCAGATGTAGTGGTACAGAATACAACAACAGTTTGTGCTTTGATTTAAACATCCAGCAGATGCTATTATCTTGACTTGCAGTGAGAATCTCAATCTGAGATACTCTTGGTGCACTGATTTGGAGTGGATTGCTGTATTTGAACAGGAAGTATTGGCAGGAGATGGACAGTGGTGTGGTTTTCAGTCATTTTAATATCTGAAACATGCAAACTTGTCCCTGTCCTCAGTCAAACACTTGCCCTGAAAGCTACTGTGGGTTGTCTTCTCTGGAATGTCATTGCATGTGCATAAGTAGGGTAAAGCCCAATTAAAGTGAGACTAGCTCCAGACTAACTAATCTAAATTAATGGCAGTTATCTCCTGCACCTGCTTCCAAAGCAGTCACCAGCTGCTGTGTTCATTGGTGGCATGAACCGCAACATGCTATCAGGTTTGGTTACTGCGTTTAGTTAAAAAAAAAACACTCTTGGTGAAGTTCAACTAAATGTTATCATGATATAGAAAAAAATACTTTGTAATACAATAAAAAATGAGCACCTATAAAAGAGGATACATTAAAATGTGGGTAATGTAAACAAGGATACTACTCAGAAAAACCAAAGCACTGCAATTAAGGCAATTACATTTATGATTACTGGGTATATTTTTTTTAACAAACATATCAGTCATTGTTGTTTGGGGTTCAATAAATCTGGAAACATGAACCGGTAAAGTTATACGTTATCACTCAAAAATTATGCATGTGCCATTCCTATCTTCATGAATACACACTGGAGAGAGGCAGAATAATGTTTTTGTCATTGGAATTGAATCAGTTTTCGATGTTAGTTCTGTTGCACGCTGGATCAAACTTTGGGTTAAATTCACCCAAAGTTTCCTCAAAAGTGGAGGTTATGCTACATTTAATTTGTCTTCTTCTATCCGTGAATATAAGTCAGTTCCAAATGTAATGCTATTAGCTTTGCATCTGCACTTCTCTAATATGGTTAATTGAAGTGCTGCATCATTTTGTAAAAGTCAATACTACTGTAGCATCCGTGAAAACACAAATATATTACAATATGTGATTTATGACTGGTACATATTGTAGTCCCAAGGTTCAAGTGACCTTTCTGCAGAGAAAGGTAGCTGCGTGCTGCCACAGTGGCAAAACAGAGGGCTGGGTTTAAAGGTTAAACAAGTGCGTGGAAACACTTCCTGCGGCCAACTGCGGCATATGGGCTAGATAGAAATAGGTGAGCTGTAGCGCACCAGTCAGTAGGGGACCAGACCTGTTTCCTTTTCTACATATTATGCAGGTTTACACCGACTGTAAGGAGAGTAAAGGTTAGTTAACAAACTGCTGAACTGAGGGAAGCTGAGAGAGGATGTTTGATCTTTCAAATGTATGTGTCCCACTAGTTTATGAAACAATGAAAGAAAGATTATTGAATTATAAGAGAAAAACACATTCCACCAATTTATGAGTAATACCACAGCAGCTTAAAAATGTAAAATAATTGAACTAATGTTTTCATCTCTTTGGTCCCTTATATTGCGGTCAAACTCATATTCAAAGATGAATTATCTAATATAATAGATGACTATCAAAATGAATCATCAAATATTTGAATAATTGATCAAAGGGTTTGACAGATATTTTTTTAAAGAAAAGCAAAAATGTTCTGATTCCTGCTTTTTAACGTGAATTTATTCTGGTTTCTTTAAGACAGTCAACTTAATATGTATGAGTTGTGGACAAATCAAGACATCTGAGGATGTCGTCTTACGCTTTGAGAAACACTGATTAACACATCTTTACCATATTCTGAATTTTTATATACCAAAAAACGTAGTGTTTAATAGAGGAAATAATTAACACACTAGTCAACAACAACAATTATTCTTGGTTGTAGATTTCATCAATAAGCTGTTATTCCACGAATGCGCTATTCAGTCCGAAATAGGGAGTCATGTCTGTCTTTGTTCTTCAAACATACTGTACATACTGTACATGTGTCAAGACAATATTTGAACTCAAAAAACAAATACACCCCTGTTTGCTATCCTGGCTCCAAAATGGTGGAACGAGCTCCCAATTGATATCAGGACATCAGAGAGTCTGCATTCATGGTTGAATGCACTTATTGTAAGTTGCTTTGGATACAAGTGTCAGCTAAAAGAAGTGTAATGTATTTGGAAATTAACCGAGGAACCAGGAGTTCAGCACGGTCCATAGCATACTGTACACATGGCAGCTGATTGAGGAGTTGTTAGATCCACAGAGCTGCCATGCTGAGAAGAGGCAGGAGCGGACGGGCTCGCCATTCAGCCTGGAGTGAAACACGGAAAGAAACAGATGCCATGGCAGTGATCCAGACGTCAGACAGAGGGGGGTTGGAGGTGACGACACAGGTGAGACATTAGGGAATATAGAGTGTAACAAAAAGAAATTGGATCAAAGTGTGGGCTGAAAAGATTGCATTTTTAAAGGTGTTGGAGATCAAATCTATGTATATTACTGAATAGAGAGAGACACTTTCCAGGGGATATTAAATGTATAGCTTGGTGTAACTTTATGACAGATACTATTTCAGCCTGAGGGCTAGTAGTTTTCCACTGGGGACTGTCCCCTCTCTGAAAGGGCTGTGTGTAAGTCAGGTCTTCAAAGGCAAGGAAAGCAGGTTTAGTATTTTTGGAAGGGGGTCTCATTTTACTTACAGGCACACATGACTTGTGTAACCAATAGGAACAGCTTTTAGGGAAAATACTTTTCAGTCTTTCAAACATGCTTCTCATTTCGCTCTTCATAGAGATCTAATTCCTTCTCCCGCTACCAAGCCCTGGACCATGGCCATGTGTTCAGACTTACAAGATGCTGTTTGTCTCAATCAGATCAGCAACATGGAGCCTGAAGTGGATTACCTGGAGAGTTCTCAGGCCATGTCTGAGGTGGTGGCCTTGCCTGGTACAGAACCGGTGATCGGGGAGTCTTTCTGCCAGTGTGACCGACAGGAAGAGCTCAGCCTGGGCCTCAGCGTCAGTGGTGACTGCCTCTGTGGGGAGGAGGATCAGGGTGAGCAAATCACAGTGCTAAACTAATGAACAAAGCAGAGTATACTGTTTATTAGAGTAGTGGAATAAACTACTAAATAAATAGAAAAATTGACTATAAAATAGAATACAATTTTAAAACAAAATAGGTATTAAATAAAAGCACAATGAAATAGAAAACATTTTTTAAACTTTTAAAAAGTATTGAATAAAACAACAATGAAATAGAATACAATTTTACAACTTAAATGAAATAAGTGAATACATTATGTAAGAAATGTCTACAAATAATTTGTATTAAAGGCTTGGCTGAATACAATAGTTAGATTTTAAGTTTTCAAGTAAAAAGTTCAAATCTTAATCATCCAGCTAATATATATATATATATATACGTTTTTGTTCCCAGGTTTTGACTGGGAGTGGGACGAGCGCTTCAAATCATCCGGAGCCTTCCTCAGCTGTGACAGCAGGAAGGTGAGCTTTCACACAGACTACAGCTGCGGCACAGCGGCTATCCGTGGCACCAAGGAACTCGCAGAGGGACAACACTTCTGGGAAGTGAAGATGACCTCTCCCGTCTATGGAACTGATATGGTGGGTAGCAAACATTTGACTAATACTGGAAGTCATATGATAAGTGGCCTGGAGATGCTCTCTTCAGATCTTCTAGTGAAGAGATAGAACTAGTCAACCTGTTTGATTCTGTTTTGATCATTTTGTCTGTGTAGATGGTGGGCATTGGGACTTCAGAGGTGAACCTGGAGAAGTTCAAATTCAGCTTTGGCAGCCTCCTGGGAAATGATGAAGATAGCTGGGGGCTCTCCTACACAGGTGAGAGGGTTAATACAGGAAAGCTCTGTGCTTAAATACAATGTTGAGGTGCTTTTACTTCAGTATTTCCAAGTGTTCCAGATTGGACCCTTGTTGTTACATACGAGTTGTGAAATTTGAGTAGTGAGCATTTCCACCAAAGAGACATTCCCTCTTTGAACTTCCCCTAGGATTTAAGTCAATGCTTTTAAAATAATTGTATTATAAGCAATTCTGAGAACTTGTTACACCACAGAGAATACAAATTAAATACTATTTATTGTCACAATTGTTTGAAGGTTTCCTCCAGCACAAAGGGGACAAAGTGAGGTTTTCCTCTCGGTTTGGCCAGGGCTCCATCATAGGAGTGCACCTCGACACCTGGCATGGCACCCTGACTTTCTACAAGAACCGGCACTGCATAGGTGAGAGTTTCTCTCTAATTCAAGCAGTGAGCGCCATAATACCCAGGAACATTTCAATGTAGCTATGACTGCCTTGTTTTTCACCCTGAAATGTTCTTCTTCTCTTTTACAGGTGTTGCTTCCACAAGGCTGCAGAACAAGAAGTTCTACCCCATGGTTTGCTCCACGGCAGCTAAAAGCAGTATGAAGGTGATCCGTGCCTGCTACACCCCCACCTCCCTGCAGTACCTTTGCTGCACCCGGCTCCGCCAAATATTGCCCGGCTGCCCGGACGTCCTCGGTGCCGTGGATCTGCCCCCCGGCCTCCGCTCCCAGCTCCACCTGCAGCTCGGCTGGGTCTTCACGCTCAGCAGCAGCCCCGAAGCCTCGGAGCAGACCGAGGACTTGTTTGATGATTTCCAAGAAGAAATGAGTCTGCCTTCCAGCCCCATCCCGAGCCCAGTCTCCACCCTGAGTGCCTGCCCCTCCCCCAGCCCCTGCACCAGCCCCTTCCTCGACACCTACCAGTGCTCCTGTCCACCTCAAACTCACCCGTGCACTTGCCACTGCCCTCCCACTCCTCCCAGCAGCGAATACGACAGCTGCTGCTCTGAACCTGAGGATTACCAAAGCAAAAGATGCCGCTGGACATGACCCGTTAGCCAAAACGTGTTTGTAAGTGTTTGGCGAACAGCTATTCTACGATTGCCATCGACATCTCCTGTTGGAAATTATAAGTGCAACCTCATCTTTGAGCCAATATTTCTACTTTTTGAGGGGATTTTTACTTCTCTTTATTAAGAGTATGTGACATTCAACACCAATTCAGCTACTGAATCAACAACTTTGTCAATGTGAATGTGAGAAGTGGAGATTTGATAGTGACATATGGGTCATTCAATTGCATTTTAGCCAATGTTTTAATAATAATACCTGGATTAATAATAAGTATTAAACTTGACTAATAATAATAATACACATTTATAATAATAATAATCTTAAATTACTTTATGGAAGGCCCAATGTTTTACCATCTGACTAGGAATAATGTGAAAGTGTACACTTGTTATTCTCTGGGGAATACTCCGGGGAAACGGCTTTTTGATACTGTGGAAATGACTTTTTGTAAATGTGTTTTGTATCAGCATTTTGATTGAATATCAAGTGGATGTGTTTTTGCTTTACAAGAGAATTTGCTTTTCTATTTACTGTTTGTTTATTAACTTTCTTACTCAAGAAATTAAAACAAATGAAGTTTGGTTGCCACAATTTTTTATAAGCCATTTCACACAAACAAAACATATCATGTAGTATAATGTCCCTTTGACATTACATCTTGCATGTAAAAAGAATAATGTTTACACATGATTTTCTTCCATATTTTACGAAACATAATACTGCTTAAATCTGTTGAAGTATAAATAATAAGGTGCACATGATATCTAAGGCATATTTTTAGCTTGTAAACATCAACATGAACACATTAGCAGCCAAGTGGTGACAACACGAAATCAGAGCCGGATTTAATCCTCGCTGACGTTTTCAAGTAGATCAGTCCAGGACCAGCTGGGGGTTCTGGGCTGTGAGGCAGCGGTAAACTCTGGCCGATATCTCTGGGCCGATACGTCTCTCTTTACCTCCGCTCTTCACCAAGAGACCAGCCAGCAGACTCTTTCTGTCCTCCTCTGAATCCAAGCTCTGGTACGCCTAAAAAACAACATAGAGAATGTACATGTTATTTGTAATTTCCTGAACTCATTTTTAGTATAAAATATATACGCAATTTGTGGAGTATAATCTAAGTCTCATTTATCCAGTCATCCTCTCAGCTTTCCAAACACATTTTGCTAAAATCCTTGCTATTTAAAACACTTGGGTCACACAGCGTAAGACTGTACGTTTTAAATGCTATGTGTTTGGAACAAAGTGTGCAAACAACTGAGTCTTGGATTAGGCTGTACAAGTTTTGTGAGAGTTTGCAAACGGAGGTTTTGATATAGTTTTGCTGTCGTTAACAGCAGACCGTATTTACTTCAAATCATCAAGATTTTTCTCAGTTTTTGAATTCGTTGTTCACCATGCAAGAAACAGCATCTTCAACAATTCTAAGTAACACAAGGTGATAATTACAATTACGAATAATGGTTTTGTGGATGAAGAATTGGTTTAAAGTCTATGATCTTATTGCATTCTTTAACTTAAATCTGTTCAAAACCTACCACTGAATGCTAAAAGTATATTGTCAAAGCAATAGAACGTGCTGGCAGTGTCCTCTATGCACTGAGCTCTACAGCACCACCCTGAGGCAGCTGTACCTGCAGCAGCAGCTGTGGAGACGGGTAGGCAGCGATCACAGTGGAGGCCACGGTGGGGCTGACTCTGTTCAGCTGCTGGACCTGCCTGCTCCACACCTGGATCAGCCCCGAGCCGTCCCTCTCCACCCGGACCCCGCTGGCCCAGGAACCGTCCACACAGAAGGGCAGCTCCGCTCGCTCTGTCAGCAGTCTGGAAAGACATGGAAAGACATCTTAACAGGGGAATGTTCCTTCTCTTTTATTATGGAAATGACTCGAGTGGCTGCCTACTTGAAAGGGCGTTTTGATAAGGCCTTAGTGACGGCACACACATGGTTGGTGACTTCCTGCCAGCCATCAAGGATGACCAGAGAGATATTCTTGCAGAGTTGCAGGTACACGAGAACCTGGAGAAAAATAACTGCAGTATTAAGTGTGCAGTGTGCAAATCAGTTATATGTACATTTTCGCTGATTTTTACCTTTTAAAATATACAACTAGGTTGCAAAAACAACATGCAAGATTGACTTATCAGATTTAAAGTAAATTGACCTCCTCCACGTCCACGTTCTCCATCCCCAGTTTGGATTGTAGAGTCTCATCCAGTAAAGGGACAGCATCAGCCCTATTGGTAAGCAAACCAACAATTAAAGTCACAATGTGGGCATGAAAGCCAACACAGAATATGTGTGTTATCTCAGCAGAGAGTAATGCAATTAGCATATAAGAAAGTCAATGATTGTGTCTGTCTATAAGAGGTCATATTGACGTACACTTACCTGTAATCCTGCTGAGGGTCTGTCACTAAGAGGGTGACCACCTTTTTGGCGTCCCTGTTGAGACACTCCAAAATTGGAGAGAGGAAAGACCCCGCCCCTGTCTGCTCCTCGTTACTGTCAAGCATCTGCAGTGACAACAAAATAATATAGAGGAGGGTCAGCATGGATGTTGCCATCAAAGTTAAATATTTCAACTTCAAAGGTTGCTCACTTTCTTCACAGAGACCACCGTGTCCATGAAGTCCGTCAGACCCAGCACCAGAACCACTTGCTCCTCCTCCAGTAAGCTGTCTTCTCCCTGCTATAGACAGAGCAGTAATGATCACACTGCAGAAAGCAGAGATTGTAAGAATATTTAAGTACAGAGAGAGAGGGGTAACCTGAGGTAAATCTCTGGTCCAGGTGATGCTGTGTGGGAGCTGCTGGCTCTCAATGCTGAACCTCCAATCAAAGGTAGCCAGGGTGTCCAGCAAGATGTCTGAGCCACCGTCTTGCAGAAGAGCTGGAATACAGCACACACAAGGTTATAGGTATATCAGCATTTTAGCCTGTTCTCTTTGTGAAAATAACAACATGGTCCAATTTAATGCTTGTAGGTTGTAAATACATATTATTATTATTATATTAATTAGCCAGTACTAGATTACTAAGAGTACCCACAGATCATCTTAAAGTAGATGATAAAGAGCTAAACTGACAACAACAAAATGCACATTATTTGATAATGGAACTGATTAAAAGAAAACAAATAAAGAAATAACACTAAATGAAGCCTAAATAAAGCACATTTTTCCTTAATACATTTATTTTTTATTAAAGTATATTATTAGTTATTAGTTATTATTAGTATTATTATTAGTATATATTTATTGAAACAAACAAACATTTCATCATAATAAAATACCTTTATATTGCAATATGTATGTGGTATTTGGACTGACTTTTAGCAAAAAAGTTTAGTAATTATTTTAATCATAATATAATTATTTGTTTATATATAAGTATTGCTATAGGCCTATATGTATTTTGAAGCATCAATTGTAAAAAAGTTATCAAACTGTCTTCACTGTTGATCAGCAGTCCCAATATAATCGACGAAAAAATTAATTCCCACAGCACCTGAAGGCAGCACGGTGTACCTGGATCTATGCGGACAGTCAGACTCTTGAGGCAGTTTTCGGGCCGGAGACTCTTCAGGTTCTCGGCCGCCTCTCTCCTCCTCTGCTGCTCCTGCTTCCTCTCCTCCTTCACCCGAGTCTTGGCTGTCCTCACCCTCTCCCTCTCCTCCCTCCTCTCCCTGGCTGCCTCTCTGTCCGCCTCCACCTCCTCTTTGTTGCGGCGTTTTCTTGCAGGACTCGGGGTTGCATGTTGTCGTGGAGGAGACAAAGCTGAAGTCTGACGGGACTCAGTTGTTATGGGTGACGATTGGAGGGTGTTGCACTTGTTGTCCGGAGCCTTATCTTCTTCGCTCACTGTTATTGTTTGACTTCTCTCATCGAGGTTTGAATCAGGTTTTTTCTCAGCGTCGCTGTCCTCGGAGTCAGATACTTCCCATGTTTTAGCTCTGCGCAACACAGACATTTCGCATGTTTAAAACATAATCAAAAATCTCCTTGAACCCTTTATATATACAGTCTATGCCTTGAACGCATTATTTAACCCCTTTCAGCGAGTATCAACTCCGACGGTATGCGCTGAGGGACAAAAGAGAGAAAACGCGCTTCCTATATTCGAGTTGTTATGAATAAATTCTAGGGGAAAGTATTTTTGTTTGATTGGATTAAATATTCAGGACCCAAAGATAAAACACTGAGTGAATGATCGGGATGACAGTATCATTAAAGTACATGTGTTGTAGCACAGTTGGCTATTATTTGGCTAAAATATTTATGTAATATATATAACCTGAATATATAATGGATGCAGTTGTTGTTTTATAATATATATATATATACATATATCACAAGCAAATTCAGACTACAGTAGTAGCCAATAGTAGTTCATTTGATGCTTGAGGTTTATCATTTGTATTCCATTAAGGTTTATGATTTGAACAATTGGACATTTTAATTAGGGAGGTCGAAAGAGGGATTTTGTTTTACAAAGAAAAATACTGAATTGATGTTATTTGTGCATCCAAAATAATTTGATAAAGTACATAGAAATCAGAAATTGTGTTCAAGAAAGTGAAACATTACAATCAGGAAAAAAAGGTTTTGGACAATTCACTCAATATCGAATTAAAAGTGGGAGAGCTGTGCAGTCTGACAATAAGTAATGTTGGTGGGCAAAAACGTGCACCATTTACAAAGGGATATGCAAAGGTTCACAGTACTTTAGGAGGGGGCATTGTATGTTAAGAGGGGGCTGGCTCTGATTGGGAAACACCCTGATGACATGTGGAGACTTATCTCATCCTGTGCAAGAATGACATATTCCCTTCAGAGGAGGTTGAGCAGAGACCTGGAAGTAACTGGAGAAATTGTTTTTACTCTTTGAACATTACAAAACCTGGAAAACTGGACTACAAATAAGAAAACTGACCTAATATCTGCAGAGTTGTGGACTATATTTTGGACTTTAGGATAACTAACAGTAACGTTAGAGGGCGCCATTACAGCGTCTAGTCTGCTGAATTCAACGAAGAAGAGTTTTAAAGCTTGCTAACCAGCTGCTCATGTAAACAACACTGAAGAATGTGATTTGGAAGTTTTATTTTATAACCATTTCCCTTTTTGCTCACCATGGCGCAGCTGGCGGAGAAAGGTACGTCTGTCTATAGTTTTACTTTGCAAAAAATAGCCACATTCAGCATAACCCAGTGACCAGACTTCTGTCGTAACCCTCCCTAAAGAAAATCTGGGCCACTGGAACAACAACTCAGCACTTTCTGCTAAAACTCATGTGATTAAACTGGAAGTTGCCAAAACCGTGAGGTCAGCAAAAACGTTTTGCTTCCTCATGGGCATACTACAGACAATTTGAAGCTAATTCAAGCTAATGCTGAAGTTGTTTTACACAGTTGGTTTTCTCAGTGAAGTAAACACAAAATCCCCATTGGGCTGAGTTAAAGGAAATGTACAATACCAGATTTTTCCTAAAGCCCCCTTCCACTAAATGCACTTCTTATTGTTGCTTCACTTGAATGTGTGTCCTTCACTATACATAATTAATAGATTCTTAAGCTACCTGGGGGATTCCCCTTTTTTTGTGGGAAATCCTTGAACTAGTTATTATTCGAAGCAGAATACTTTTTAAATATGTCTGGAGGGTAGCTTTAATAATTTTCAAAAGCACTGTTTTCAAAAAACATAATTAATAAGAGATGTATTGAAGCTTGGTTGGAATATATATTTTGTATATTAATTTCAGGTGAGATTAAAAAAAGAAGAAGTAAACTAGGATGTTGCATTTGCGTTCATTGCAAGTGAAGTTTGACTCTTAAGTTAAAATAATAAATAATACATTATTCTTGTTATTTCTTTACAGCGTATTTCCGCTTTTTGGTGCTGTTCTTCAACTGTCTGCTGACATTTGGCTCCTACTTCTGCTTCGACATCCCCAGTGTTTTGCAGGATCAGTTCCAGGGGGTAAGCAATAGGTCTAAAATATATAATCAGTATTGAAGGATGAGTTCCCCAAATTAACTCAACAGGATCATTGTAGTGCTAATGAGTAATGACGAAGTCTGTCCTTTGTTTGTGGCTAGTATGATTATAACTAAATCACTGGCTTCCACTCATCTGACAGAACCTGACATGTTCCAATGTGACGGTGATCAACGGCACAGTGGACTGTGTGGAGGGACTGGGGATGAACCCTCAGCAGTACAATCTTCTTTACGCCATCTACGCTTGGACGTAAGTTCACACGTGTGGAAAAAAATGTGGAACACTAATCCATCATCATGTGAAATTTAGAGTTAATTTAAATAATTACTTATGGGTTGAAGTCACATTAGAACTAAAGTCAGTCAAAATTGGACGTGCACGGATCAGAATCTAATCAATACACCATTTTCCAAGTTATTTTATTTATTTTATCTTATGTACCCCATTTAATTTAATAATTAATCTTAAATTACTAATAACTTTAAAGATGGCAACAATTTACAATGTGGATAAGGTGAATACTTATCCAAAGTGTGTGTGTTGTGTGTGTGTGTGTGTGTGTGTGTGTGTGTGTGTGTGTGTGTGTGTGTGTGTGTGTGTGTGTGTGTGTGTGTGTGTGTGTGTGTGTGTGTGTGTGTGTGTGTGTGTGTGTGTGTGTGTGTGTGTGTGTGTGTGTGTGTGTGTGTGTGTGTGTGTGTGTGTGTGTGTGTGTGTGTGTGTGTGTGTGTGTGTGTGTGTGTGTGTGTGTGTGTGTGTGTGTGTGTGTGTGTGTGTGTGTGTGTGTGTGTGTGTGTGTGTGTGTGTGTGTGTGTGTGTGGCCCAAGGTTAAAACATTTGGGACAGCAGTGAGAATGTTATGAGAAACAATTTGTTGCTTAGACTGACCTCGAAGGAAGCTCGACTGGAGAATTAAAAAATAAATCAAGACAACTGTACATTAATTAAATACATTTGACATTTAGCTTGAGCTGGGTTCAATACTTTCTTTATGGTATTTAAATTGGGCTCAAGTAGAACCCCTACATGGATGTGGCTTGCAACACAAAGTGATACCGATCTCTGTCTGTTATGATTTGAAAGTCTCATGATTTAAAGTGTAGGCCTGTGAAGGAGAGGCCCTTGGAAAACAACCTCTATTTTTTTTAACTGTAATTACTTATTTTAAAGAGATTGCAACATTATACTTTTTAAAGAATTGCTCAATTCATTTAACACTTTTATTATGCACACAATAAAAACTTCAACAAATATATCGATCCTGGCTTAACAAGGGATCCAAACTATTTTGTTCATAAGCTTAGTTTCAGAAAACTTGTCAGTAGTTTAACAACTATTAGAATTTGTGTAATGTCTATGTAGACCAATTTGGTTGATAAGAGAAATAATTTGAAGCAGTTTAATAAAGAATGTTAAACTATATTTAAAACTGTAATTGAACTTCAACTTATATTAATTATCTGAATCCAGTGGCCAGTTGGAATAGATAATCAACAAAGTTTCCATTTTGCAGCAACAGGGCAAAAGGTTTCTACAATAATTCGTATTATGTCTGAGTCTAGTTCTCTCTTATCAGCTTTGTCTCGGAATGTGTTCAATACATTACGTTTTTTTATTATTACCATACAATACATAGATTTAAGAATAAATTAAACAAATAATACAACATTGACCTAAAAGAGCAGACAGATTTTGGAACCCTGACCTCCTCAGGTAGGTCTTATGACCAGCAGTGATGCCTCTGAGGGTCTCAGGGTGCAGGACGGGGCATAGGGTTTATAAAAGGTCACAAACATACCAGCAATACAATTTAAGAATGTATTCTTAAAACAACATAATCTTCTTTTCTTCTTACACCTACAGCGCACACCCTGAACAGTGTGCTTCTTGTTTACATTTTCCTCTGCACACTCAGATGCAGGACATAAAAATACTCTTTTGCTATTTATTTTCATTTTGCAGCACATTTTTACTACCAGAATTTTTCTTTACATCTTTATATTATTTATTTTTCTCAAGTCATTTACTTTTGGTGAGTTAACTAAAGTTTAGTTTATTTAACCCTGGCTATGGACTGATTCATTATTAGTTGTTACAAAACATACACCAGACGGCGGTTAGACAAACAAATATAGACCCCCGATACAAACAATCAGACAAACAAACATGAACTCGTAATAAACGCCAGTGTGCCAGCAAAGCTCATCCAGCTCAATTTAGTCCGAATTAAGAGGTTTCAGAGAGGGTAGGGAATTCAATTATTATATTTCCCTAACAACACGCACATTGACCCTACTGTATTACACTGCTGAGTGGCTTATCAGAAAACTACAATGGATTATTTTCTCTCCTATCAACAGGAATGCAGTCGTTGTGATCATGGCCGGCTTCATGATTGACAAACTAGGAAACCGCTGTAAGTCAACTGTAGGAGCCATTGTATGGGTGTTGTTGGTGTGTCAGTTTACTTACTATTTATATTTATACTGCAATATTATTGTGGACACTTGGTGGCGGGGGGTTAGCTGCACTGGGTGTATAAAAAGGGTCATAGGTGACAGGAAAGGACGAGGACACAGGAGGAAAGAGCATACCAATTCCACCAGCCCGGCAGATGCTCACCACAACCATTAAACTGTATAATTAAACCTTTGTATGTAAAACGCTAAATAAACATAATTATAAACTGCACCAAAGGACCGGAAATCCTTTTGTGTCTGCGTCTGGATCACTCTCCAGCCCTCCTGTGAAGTAATGGCAAAAGGATATAGGACATTGGAACATTAAAATTGCCATTACATCAACAAATATCTGCTAAATCTATAACTGATAATGATATCACTTTATGGTAACTCATGGTGAATTCATTCCCTTTTCGTCCTCTCTGCAGTTGGAGTATTTCTGTTCTCCTTCCTGTGTGTTTTGGGCTCTTCACTGTTTGCATTGGGTTCCCACTTCAAGGGAACCCCCTATCTGCTGCCACTGATGCTCACAGGCCGACTGCTGTTTGGATCAGGAAATGGATCTCTGACCAGTAAGGCCAATTTCCTAAAGTCACAATCATACTCTTTCTGGATTTCAACTCAGAGGACTGTTCCTATTAAACTGCTCTTGTTGTCTTCATCAGTTGTTCAGAACCGCATCACAGCGTTCTGGTTCAGAGGGAAGGAGCTGGCCCTGGCGTTCGGTCTGACGCTGGCTTTCTCTCGCCTCGGCTCAGTCCTGAACTTCTTCCTCACACAGAAGTTTGAGGAACAATATGGCATGCAGTGGACACTCTGGGGTGGTAGGTACTAATAAAACAAGTGGATAGAAACACCACGTTTATGACCCGAGTGGATAATAACACAGTGCTTAAGTAAGAGTATTTTTCTCATGCTTTCTAGGTACACTCCTGTGTGTGCTGGGCTTTGTTTCCGCCATCCTTGTCAGCGCCCTGGATAAGATAGGAATGAAGCAGCTGGGACTTGATGGCGCCATCCAAGAGGAGTCCCGCAAAGTGGTACCAAAAATATATTTTAACGAAAAAAACGTGCTTTCCACACCAAGTACACATTTTGAATGTTCATTAACTCCTAAGTAATGTGTGTTTCTGTGTATGTGTAGAGGATTCAGGATGTGAAGCTCCTGTCTCTAAGATATTGGCTGCTGGTTCTCACCATCATGTTCTTCTATAACGGCATCTTCCCGTTCATTGCAGATGCCAGGTAGTGATGTCCACACACACACACACACACACACACACACACACACACACACACACACACACACACACACACACACACACACACACACACACACACACACACACACACACACACACACACACACACACACACACACACACACACACACACACACATATATGTTTCTCAGATTTAAAATGGGTTTTGAATGCCAGTATGCTGTCAAGTAATTTAACATAAGGCTGTTTTTCTACCTGTCCAGTAAATTCATTCAGGATAAGTACGATGGCTACAGTCAGAAGGAGGCGGCTTATATCGCTGGCGCTGTTTATGACAGCTCACTGGTCCTCTCAGCCAGCGTGGGCATCCTCATAGTAAGTATCTGTAACCTTAGCCTGGTACAAGTCTGTCATAAAAAGCAACATAAAACAAGAGGCTCTTGTGTTTTTCTTGCAGGATTTTGTGGGTCTGCGGGGCATTTTTGCTCTGGCCTGTGCCATCTTCACGCTGCCTGTGTTCGGACTGCTGGCCTTCACCTTTGTCCCTCCTCTGGTCTCCACCATATGGCTCGGAGTCACCTACTCATTCGCTGCTGTGAGTTTACCTCAAAAGAAATTATTGAAAATGATAGTGGCGGCCAGTTTATGTTAGTAATTGATTGTCTTCTCAAAGCTTAATCTTCTCAAAGCAGAGATTTTTCTTGTGAAAAACATTTGTTGTTTCTCAGTATTTGTTTATTTTTTGAGCACACATGACCATATAAGATCTAAAGGAAAAAAAAAAGGAAATGTATCGGGAGCCACTGGTTTAAACAATGGACTTTCCTCAACTTAAGGAGAAAACAGAAAAGAACAAAACAGTAATAAGAAAGGACTAAGCTAACAACAAAACCTAGAAATAAATCCAACAAAAATTAAATGACAATCTGTGCTGTTTTCCAGGCCAGCATGTGGCCGTCGATCCCCCTCGTGGTGCCTCAGGCGACTCTGGGAACAGCCATGGGTCTGGCCACCTCCGTACAGATGGTCGGGATCGGTGTATCCAATCTGGTCGTTGGGCAGATTTTGGGCTCCAAGTCGAGGTAGGAATTACTTGAGACCAGGAACATATTGGTAGACCACTTCATTGTCCTTTCTGCATTTGAACTTAGCTGCTCTTTTCCTTTCCAGTGAAACTAAAATACCTCTGTGGCGCTGGCAGAGGATGATGATCTTCATGTTGGCCAACACCATCGGCTGCATCGTCACCTCAGTGGTGCTCAACGTTGTCGACCGCAGACAGGTCAGACACACAGCCTGTTCATCGATCTCTATTTGTACTGTGTGTGTATATTGTCAGCCATCTTCACCACAGGATACAATGTGCTCAGTAAATATTTGTTTACCTGCAGGGCGGGACCCTGAACAAGACAACCAAGAAGTCGCAGCATGCGGAGGGGGAGTCGGACAGAGAGCCCCTCACCCAGGGAGAGGAGGAGCAAGGAGAGGAGGAGGAAGAGGGAGGCGAGGCGGTTAGATCTCCTTCTATCAACTCCTAAATTTGAACATTTCTCTTTTTTATATGCGTTTTTGAAATGTACCACAATTGGTTTTATTGCACAACTCACTGAAAACCATGTAACAGTGGATGATGGACATTGTAATGATAGCAAACAAATGAAACCTTGTTTTTACAGTATTATTTACAACTAAATAGTATCAATACATTTTATTAAATGTTAACTAGGTATTGCTGATTTTTCAGTTATACAGTTAAACAATAGCTATCAACTGTAAAACCATAAGTGAACATGTCAACGTTACCGAGATCACTAAATAATTGTAATATCAATTTACCATGCATGTCAATATGTAACTTTTAGTTTTTTTATGACTTTCTGATGAAGAATTGAAATATTTGTACCTCCTCTCTGTAATTGTACAGTTATAGATTTTACCTTGTCCTTAAAAGAAGGGAGTTTGATTTATTTTACACTGCCAAAGCAGCAAAAGGGCTGTTCAATTTTTTTAAAAGCCAAATCTGTGTTCCATGTCTAATAAAATAAAATAAAAGTGTAATTGGCTTGGTACCATGTGCAGCTTCCCTAAGGCTTTTTAAGGAGTTCCAGCTAATTGTTTTGCTTTCTGGAAACAACTTAAGTGTTTTGGTTCACTTTCATAGCTTTGTTTTTAGTTTATACGTTTAAAAAAAATAAATAAATGTAATACCTGTTTAGGCCTAAACTGAAAAAAGACAGATAGAGTTAGAACATCATGGAGCTTTTCCCTTTTAGCTCTTATCTTGCAATATCGCCTTGACCAGCATTGTAATTTCACATTACGGTCAGTAGGTGGAGCTGTTTACATATATCTGTTTGTTATGGGAAAAAAGCTCACGTAGTAAGCACAGTTAACCGAATTGATAATATTTGGTTTATCAGTAACCTTTTTGTGAGCCAGGTTGGTTATTTGGGGGAGAGCTAGTCAAGTTACCAATGCTTCACATCACATCCCTCATCCTGTCAACAACTGCAAGAATGTAGGCTGTTTTAAAATAGCTAAAGGCAAATATCCAAAAGTTAATATATCATTTTAAACATACACTAATTGTCCTTTATTTTGTATGTCTATTCGGATTCATTGCTGTATCATTTATGGTGATGTTAATCGCTACTTTAGTCATTTTAACACTAGCATTTATCCGTAAGCCTGTATTGCTGAAAATGTTTATTTATATATGGACAACAAACCTATAGTTAGGGTATTCGAGTATATTTACACAAAGAGGTTTCTGTTAGAGCTTGTGCGCCTGAGTTTTATTATACAAATTTGATTAAATGCAGATTAGACTGCCTAAACTGATCCAGACGGCCCTGTCTGCTCTTGAATCATGTTGCGCTCCACAAATACTTCAGTACTCTAAAGTTCAACATTCAGGGTTCATCACCTCCTGTCCTGACCCTGTTCCAGGTTCAATGTAAGCGTCCTAAAGACTGCAGTCCAGTAGATTAACGAGGAGGGGAAAAACACAATCAAATGTTTGATGTTTGCAGACGCAGGGTACTGAAATGTTCCTGAAAATTAATATTTGTGTCCAGCTGGTCCTTGTATTCAGTCATAATTCGACCAAGGATCAGACAGCAAACTCTGATTTGTAAAGAAATGATAAAGGTTTACATAACTGAATGATCTGATACAGTTTATAATCTTCTTAAAATTGTGCCCCAATTACCAGATTATTAGAAGGATGCATCTGAAAGGTCACCGGAAAAAATGTTACCTGTCCTTGAGCTCAGATCCCGTGTTTACCACGGAGATAAACTCTAAAAATACACCTCACTTAATCTGCTTAGTGTGTGGCAGGTCTGCGTCTTTGCCTGCCTGATGGACAATTTACACACACACGCTGAGTCAGTCTCAGAGTCTTAGAGAGCAACGTAACGCCTGACTTTAAACAAGGGGCTTTAGCATCCTGAGACCTGCTTTATGGTTTCTCACCTGGTGTCACTCTGCAGTTTGATCTGTTCGGACGACGGCCTCAACGACAGCAGCATGTCGGGCCTCCTGGGCCGGATCTGCGGATCCAGCAATGAAATGGTAGTGGACAGGGTCAAGAGGAAGAACTCCGTCAGGCGCATGTCAATTATTGAAGATGGTGAACTTGCAGAGGTCCTTTACCTTATTCCTAAACAGTCCATGATGGAGCAGCTGCCCTTCATCAACCCCGACGACTACATCCTGTGTGAGAAATTGTTTAGTTCTGCAGATATGGCAGGTATTGAATTGTTTACTTCCCTATGTAGTAATGTTGATAAGTTGTTTTATTGACTTGTCATTACAGTATATAATTTGGCCATTGATTGTTATGGATCATATGACATTGATTTACATCAGAAAATGCTAAATGATGATTAGATTGAACATCTTCTGTCTTTTCTTATTACTTAAATGCATTTATGTTGTTAAAAGAAGTCAAGTTATTATGAACCCTAATGTTGCTCACAGGTTGTATTATTTTTGCTGTTAACAGGCTTATATACCATCATTCATCCTTTTATATGATATTATATTGAAGGTTTTTGGTCTACAAAATGGACATGTGAGTTTCACAATGTCTGCTCCGTGTACATAAACAAACATTCATTTTGTTTGCGTCCAAAACACCATCTGCCTCTGTTAAATTAAAAGTACAGAATGTATTTTTGCAACAACATTTTCTCTTTTTCATATTAACTAGCATTTTTAGTTGCATGTATCGTCAATATTGTACCTAATTTGGTTGATGAAATCACTATGTAGATTAAAGAAGCCTGTGTGCAAAGAAGGCAACTCAAATATTCACAAAATAATGTCTACAAATATCATCAGCTGGTATTGTAATCACAGAATCATCTGAAGTGAACAACGGAACAATCAAAGTGGAACAAATATTTTTGCAATTTTCTGCAGTGAGCATTTTTCAAACATTCGGCTGCTTTAAAAAAAACGTTCCTTTGTTTGTATTCTTCTCTGGTGCTGTATAGCCAGGAGAAAATACGCTAATAGTGTGAATGCACACAGAGAATGAAAAAGAGATTTAGACTAGAGCCTGGATTTGAAATGTTTCTGATACAATAAAGAAAAGGAAAATAAAATGCAAACATTTTACTCCAAGTTGGACTTTCCTCAATGTACTGTTAGACATTGTACAGCCCTGTAATATATCAAACAGGAACATTTTAACTGCAGACTTCAATCTCTTTTTTTTGTGTTCTACGTGGAAGGTAACAGAAAACTTGAAGTTATTTGAAAGCATTGATAATGTTTCCAGGATTGAATGTCAAAGATTTAAAACACACACACACACACGCACACACACACACACACACACACACACACACACACACACACACACACACACACACACACACACACACACACACACACACACACACACACACACACACACACACACACACACACACAGTCCTGCCCTCTGTGTTTTGGACCACCCCCTCCCCTTCACCAGCAGTCCTGTTAGTTCCTCTCCTCACTCTGATCCGCTGCAGTGAGCTCCCACTGACGAGCAGAAACCAACTGTCATGAAAGAGAAAGGTAGACATTTGTATGTTTGTGTGTGTGTGTGTGTTTGTGGATGTGTGTGTGTGAGAGTGTGTGTTGAAGGATGTGAAAAAAGGGAGTGTGACAGCTTGGGTTTTCTGTTTGTCTTTTCCTCCTTGTCACTGGTTTAAAACTTGTTATTTAGCATTTTGGTCATACAGTCTTGCAGCTAAGTAATTACATTTGTCTCCAAGAAAGTTAACAATGTCAATGGGACACATTACTTTGCTAACTTAATTACTTCACAAATGTGATTGTTTTGAGTTGACTATTGTGATTTTGCTTGAGGTGGCATTTAATTGTGTTAAAGGTCAAAACGAAAATTGCTTATGACTTTTCTTGGATGGTTTTTGTTATCAATGTTTTAACTAATCCTGATGTTTGGCTGTGTAAAAGCTTTAATACTATTGTTGCCAAGTGGGGAAAAGTGCAAGCATAGCTTTCGTAGAGCATCATGGTGGGTTAACCAGCATGTGATTTTTAGAATGACCTCTGAATTGAGCCTTGTCTTTCTTTTGATTTCCATATTATTTCATTAATCATTAAGTGACCACAGTACTTTTTCTCAATGCTATTACTCAAAGACATTTTGTTAGCAATACAAAAGTATGTGTATAACCTACAGTGTACTGTATTAGGCTTAGCTAGTATTTTGGTACTTTGTACTTTACATAGAATGAGAATTAGGTATATTTAAACATCTACATAAAGATTCTGAAAGTAGAAACTCCCTACCTCCTTGCACACAGATGTAGATTTTCATAGCTGGAGATAGTGGAGTGTGTGATTAGCTGTCGTTCTCAGGTTTCTCTCCATTTGCTGTCTTTCTAAATCTACCATTTGCTAATACTTGACACCATATCAGCTTCACATTCTGGGAGAGATCAAGAAAGAGCGGACGACATTTTGGACTCCTAAAATATTTCTAAATGAAGAAAGAGTAAAAACTAAAAGCAGACAAAGGATATACTTTATATATAGGATAATACCCCACAGATACTGTATATCATTCTGTTACGTAAGCGCAATACAATGTGTTCTACTGGCAGAAAAACAACTACAGGTCTAATCAGTAGGAGTATTTCCTGTTGTTGTGTTGGCATCACAGCTCTGTCATTAACAAATATCTGAGGTGTAATCGCACAAAGGCTGGTTTGGATGAATTTTCAGTCATTGTTAGGGTGCCATGGCCAAAAGAACGGGTCACATTCCCAATGGGATTATGCCAAGTTTGGAGATAGGTCCTATACTTTTTACTTTAATGAAAAGACACAGTACGTTTTGTATGCTTTGTTGACTTCATATATCACAAGTGTTCTCTGAAGCCGAAGGTCAAGTTGTTTACATATTTATTACTTATTAGATTTAACAGGAGATTATAGCCATTTACAGTGGGCTTTTATTAACCTTTGGGAAGCATGGTCTCTTAATCTAGTTTGTTACTTCATTCTTGTTACCATAGGGACAAATCTCTCTGTCGTGGGGCCACATACCGATGGTGCTTGACTCAATTTTCTTCATATTGAGTTGGGAACAAATTCTAGCTGTAGGCTATGTGTAAGGACATCTTGTTGGTGTAGTCGAAAGAATGTCAGAGTTAGTGCAGATTAACTGATGTTCCTGTTATCTGGTTAAAAAATGAACTTGTTATGATTTATGTGGAAAAACTATATATGAAAAAAGAGAAGACGAAGCTCATGTGTCTGTTTATGTAGCTGGGTGTCCACACAGCGCTCTCACCGTGCCACATTCTTTCCCCTCTCTCCTCTGTTAATCACATTCAAGACCTCTCAAGTGGGGCTGTGATTAGATTGTACAGGCATCCACAGCTTCTGTCGCCTTATAGACATGAAAGAGACAAAAGCAGAAGGAATGAGGTTCTTGCAAAAGTAAGAGACTAAGTTTGGCACACAAGCTCCTCATAAAGCTAATGTTGTTGGGAGAAGTAGTGGCTTCTAAGAACTCCTGTCTATATTTTGAAGCACTCTAGTTTAGTGCTCTGTGTAGCTATGTGCCAAAGCAAATCTACGGTGGCCCTGAAGTGCAAGACACCACAGCATTTCACAAAACACTACAGCATTTCACAAAACGCCACAGCATTTCACAAAACGCTACAGCATTTCAGAAAACACAACAGCATTTCAGAAAACACAACAGCATTTCATAAAACACTACAGCATTTCAGAAAACACAACAGCATTTCAGAAAACACAACAGCATTTCAGAAAACACAACAGCATTTCATAAAACGCTACAGCATTTCAGAAAACACAACAGCATTTCAGAAAACACAACAGCATTTCACAAAACACTACAGCATTTCACAAAACGCCACAGCATTTCACAAAACGCTACAGCATTTCAGAAAACACAACAGCATTTCATAAAACACTACAGCATTTCAGAAAACACTACAGCATTTCAGAAAACACAACAGCATTTCATAAAACACTACAGCATTTCAGAAAACACTACAGCATTTCAGAAAACACCACAGCATTTCAGAAAACACCACAGCATTTCAGAAAACGCTACAGCATTTCAGAAAACGCTACAGCATTTCAGAAAACGCTACAGCATTTCAGAAAACGCTACAGCATTTCAGAAAACACAACAGCATTTCAGAAAACACAACAGCATTTCAGAAAACGCTACAGCATTTCAGAAAACACAACAGCATTTCAGAAAACACAACAGCATTTCAGAAAACACAACAGCATTTCATAAAACACTACAGCATTTCAGAAAACACTACAGCATTTCAGAAAACACAACAGCATTTCATAAAACACTACAGCATTTCAGAAAACACTACAGCATTTCAGAAAACACCACAGCATTTCAGAAAACACCACAGCATTTCAGAAAACGCTACAGCATTTCAGAAAACGCTACAGCATTTCAGAAAACGCTACAGCATTTCAGAAAACACAACAGCATTTCAGAAAACACAACAGCATTTCAGAAAACGCTACAGCATTTCAGAAAACACAACAGCATTTCAGAAAACACAACAGCATTTCAGAAAACACAACAGCATTTCATAAAACACTACAGCATTTCAGAAAACACTACAGCATTTCAGAAAACACAACAGCATTTCAGAAAACACAACAGCATTTCATAAAACACAACAGCATTTCAGAAAACGCTACAGCATTTCAGAAAACGCCACAGCAAAACCAATGACATTCCCATTAGCTTACACGCTAGACTTTTAGTCAATTCCAATAATAAATGTTAGCATGCTAACACACTAAGTTTACAGTATTAATTTTTACGATTTTTAACACAGTGAACATTTTTCTGCTCAACAGCAGAATGTTGGTATTGACATTGCGAGCATGCTAACATGCTGATGCTAACATTAAGCGTTAGCTCAAGTAAGATACTTGCCAATATAGGCCTACATTAGCCTAAAAGCGCTGCTAGCGTGCCTGTCGAATCTTGCAGCCTGTTTTTTTTCCTACATTTTAAAACCACTCAATAAACTTGACAGTATACTTTCGGTTTTAAAGGAGGATGACATAAATTAGTACTTTAAAAACAATAGGCTATATGGCATTTTCAGGGACTGTAAGATGAGATGTTAAGCTTTCTGATAGGTAACAATTATAATGCATTTCTCATGTTTCATGAATTCCTCCCTCTTTTTTAGGGCTAGCTGCTCAGGATGACCCGGGCTCTCTGGGGGGGAAGCGGATCATCCCGTGCTTCAGGTGTGGGGATTCATGCAAGGGACAGGTGCTACGAGTCCAGAACAACCACTTCCACATAAACTGCTTTACCTGCAAGGGTGAGTACCATCAATAAGTGCACTATTTGACATCCTGCAATCACAGAGTAGGAATATAGTAATTTGAGCCTTTAGCATTAAAACCTTTTATTTTCAGAAGGTTAGTTTTCAATTGAGTTGAATTTGCTTGTCATTTTTTAGACAGCTTGTTCGTGCCATCAAATTCAATTTCATACAAAATATTCTGCATGGCTGTTGTGAGAACCTCCTGGGTTGTCAGACTCAGATTCATTAAAGTTACTTTGTTTTGTGGAAAACATATTTTCTCATCAGGCTATTGTCCCCATTAATTAAACCTGACAAGCTTCTCGTGTTGTTGCCCTTTCATCCCATGTGACGGTGTTTAGAGCACAGAGGAAACAAAGAGACTTTTAGAACAGAGAGTCCTGCAGTAGTGTACGTGAGAAGACCTGGGCATCTAGGGCTCATCATGTGTATTCATGTGTGTATTATGCAGATACAAAATTGTATTTAAAAATAAAACGAAAAACAAAACATGTAAGTTGTAAATGCATAGCTACAGGGGTTGCAACCGGACAGGAATAGAGCTGTGCAGTAATGCCCTTGGCATTCCTGAGGTGGCAGGTTCAGAGGCACAGTTTCGGATATGGGTTGCATGGTATCAAATGTCTCCAAACAAAGCACGGAGGAAACACTGCCTCACTGTCAATAACATGCCAAACACATGAACACTTTAAAAACTCTGGCAGTCATTAGGTCAGACAGCCCAAATTACATCTTTGATGGAGTACATAGTTGCTGTGTACTTACAACTATGAAAACGTGAATTTAATTTAATACAATTCCCAAAGCTCTTCTTAAAGAACACAACAAAATGAAAATGTCAGTCAAAAGTCAACATGAGCAAACCAATACATATAGGAAAACAAATCAAGAAGGAGTTCTGCCTTTTCTAAAAGACAAACATATGTGGTTTAGTCTTATCTAGCAGTATTAGCTGACCAAGTATCTGATAAGTATCTGTAGGAGAGGGACAATGCATTTTTCACATTAATCCATTGATCCAAAGATAATTAAAAGAAAAATGAATGTAGCTTTAATGTTTTCTGTTGTCATCTGTCTCTCCCTGTATGTCTGTGTGCAGTGTGTGGCTGTGACCTGGCCCAGAGTGGCTTCTTCACGAAGAACAGTGACTACTACTGCCCGCTGGACTTCCAGAGGATTCACGGCACGCTCTGCAACAACTGTGGGGAGTTTGTGGAGGGACAGGTGGTCACAGTATTGGGGAAGACCTATCACCCAGCCTGCTTTGTGTGCACCGGTTGCAAGTAATAAAGAAAACAGAATCATGGGAGTTTGGATGCAGAACAATTATTTTTCTTGTGGAGTAAACACTTGTCTCTTTCTCTGTTTCCTAGACAGCCATTTCCTGCTGGGGACTGCGTCACCTTCAGTGGAAAGGACTGCCTCTGTCAGCGCTGTATCCGACCCGTGTCTCCAGTTCTTAGTCCTAAAGACGTCAGCTCTTCAAATAGTAAGTGAACTTTTGAACTATTGATTCTCTGAGCATTAATTCCATTTGATCCAGTGTTGACATCAAACATATTGATTAACGAAGCTTTAAAACAGACCCGAGACTCTGATCCCATGTGGACATAATCAGACAGAGGATTATGCATTTAACAATGGTCCGCTGTGGCCATCACACTGAGTTACCTTAAAAATCCCCACAATCCCCCTGGGATCCTGCACGGTGAATGACTCAGAACAGACTAAGAGATACAGTAGAAAAACTACTCTCCGTATGAACTTGAATTTATCTAGCTGACAACTATATATAGGGCAGAGATCAATAGGATTCAGACTCTTAATACCTCTGGATTAAGTAGCTCTCTCTTAAGTACTTTAAATAAAGGGGTTTATTAAAACAAATCTAAAGGAAACAACATAGACACTCAAATTATATTCATGTATATCCAGAAATCATATCAAAGAACTGAGTTGTTTCCTAATGTTTCCCCAGATCAAGTAGACTCAGTCCATTAAGTTCAATGTGTACATTTAATTCAATTTAAACAAAACGCATGAGCCTATTTAGGTGTCAAGCGTTAAAAGGATAGTTGGGATTTTTTAAAGTGGGATTATATGAGGCTCTTATTCCCAGTAAGTGTATTACCTAAGGAAACTCAGGAATGTACTGCGGTGGATGGAGGCATCAGAAAACATGTGCTAGCCACCTAAAAATATCTATATCAATAAGAGTGTCTGCTGTAATTATACATTTACACTGCTTTACCTTGCTTTCAGACACATTTTTGACAGGTGACTGAAGCTGTCATCTATGGTCTTTTCAAAGCTATGGTAGACTACTTATATACCATAGGGATAATGGGAGTTGCTAGTCTGCTGATGCCTCGATCGGTTAGTTTGTTTTTGTTATTGTGTGACTTTGGTGATTCTGAACCATCCTTTATAACACCAAAATAACACCATAACAACAGCAACCCCTGTACAATGACTGTTTCCTGCCATGGAGTCTGGTTGCTTTGAAGGGATCCTAGATTACAGTTACCTGGGGCTTGCTAACCACCATCAACTGTAGGAAATACCCTCATAAATCACAATCACAATCGGTTTTATTACCAAGTAGGTTTACACATACGAGGAATTTGCTTTGTTATATATTTAATAAATACCCTCCTCTATTGCCCCCAACTGTATAATCATTCGGCAACACTTGTCATCCATCCCTTGGACTCTTACTGGATATGTCTTGTATGTGTTTTCAGACTGCTCTGGCTGTGGCAGATCCATCAAGAACGGCCAGGCTCTGTTAGCGCTGGGGGGGCAGTGGCACCTCGGCTGCTTCAAATGTAAAGCCTGCAGGAAGGTGCTGAGCGGAGAATATATCAGCAAGTAAATACAAATCTGTCATTTAAAAATATTTATTTTTTCTAACAAAATAAGGTTGGAATTAGCAAAATATGTTAGCAAAATGTATAACTTAGACACATTAAAGAATATATGATTTGAATGTAAAGTGTCTTTTCTTTCAGAGATGGCGTTGCCTATTGTGAGAGGGACTACCAGATTCAGTTTGGGGTACAATGTGACGCGTGTCAGAGGTTTATCACAGGAAAGGTCCTAGAGGTGAGACAGCTTGACTTTTTCAGTTTTTCTCCTGGTTGCATGATTAACATAACATTGGCATTTTTTGCAAACATTTTTTTAAACTTATTCTTATTTTTATTATGACATCTTATCTTGAGTGTATTTGTTTGTTGGCCCCTTCTACTCAACACATGTTTTATCTAACCTATTTTGCTTATAAATAGTTTCTGAATTGTTCAATGTGGAAAAAACATATCGGACAAATTATTAGAAAATAATTTGTATATCTTCAACTTGATTTGAGGAGATATTTTAAAGTACATTCAGAAGATTAAGAGTTAGGGTGTTGTATGTTAATTGTTGGTCTATGTGATAATGTCTAAGTCTGAAGCTTTTGCCTTCCTCATCATCAACCTACAGGCAGGGGAGAAACATTATCACCCCAGCTGTGCAAGATGCAGTCGATGTGACAAAATGTTCAGAGAAGGCGAAGAAATGTTTCTGCAAGGTCAGTGTGAGAAATACCTGATGTGGGTGTGCATGTTTTTATTGTGAGAATGGGGATTTAAGCCTGTGATGGATACATATATTAAAAAAAGTTGTCCAATGCAGTCTAGATTTTCAGTGTCTAAACTGTGAATTTATTTTTGAAATACTGTATTTATTTGCCTTTATGTCCCTGCCTTCACAGGATCAACAGTTTGGCACCCACACTGCAGAAGCAACAGCAGAACAGATGACAGTTACATGGTAAAACCACCTTAACTTAACACGTCTACACTGAAACATGTTATATAACTCATATCAAAAATATCTCCGAATACTGGATAATACCCAGCAGGTGTAATTGCTGTTAAAAGGAGGACGCGAGTGTGATATCTTTGCACGTCGCTGTCCTCACATTTTCTCTTCCTTCCCAGGTCAGCAGACCAAAAACACCTTGTCTTGATTTCTTTTTCCCCCATCAAAAAATGAAGGTTAATATCGTGAGCAGACCTGCCGTTTGCAGCGATGCTTTTCTAGAGTGAGCAGGCTCTAATCTCACGCTTTGAGATGAACTGCACTCGCTTGTTTCACTTGCTCACCAGGCTTCAAGTGTGCTAGTTCAAGGCAGCAAAAATATGACTTCTTAAAAGTTACATTTTTGCCTACTATTATTAGTAAATTCAGCCTATCGTATAGCAGCTGTAAAGTATAACGTTGGTCCAATATGTATTACATTTCATGCAAAACATTTTAAAACCATGTTAGCTGTGGCATATAGAATGATGCATGCTTGGCTATTTTATTTCCTGCTAAATATACACCAATATGTGATTATGTAATATGCAAAAGCAAATCCTGTCTGATAATGTTAGCCACAAATAAAGGTGTTTTATTATTGAGCATATTACAATTTGGAGCATTGCACATAAACTGCATGATGCCAGGCCCACTGCTTCTAGTTGAGATCTAAGGACCAAGTTGTGTGACGAGAAATTGCCTGAGCATCCTATGAGTGAAACTAACAGCTATTTTTTTTTTTTAGCCCACTAGATCCTCATCAGAAAGCTCCAGTTCCCGGCCAGGCTCCTGCACCCCGGGGAGTCCTGGACGAACCATCTGTGTAAGTTCTGGTGACGACATCTGCTTTACACAATTCACGTGGCTTGATTTTACATTTGATTTATCATTTATTTGTACAGGCGAGTCGCGTGGATAAGGTGTCTCTCTTGCAAGATCTTTCTTTATGTCAATGAAGACAAACATTTTAGGAAAATAGCCAATGTGGAAAAAATTATATTTAAGCATAGTTTTACAGCTTTACCTTGACTGATCGGAAAGAGTTTTAATGCCAGAGGAAAACAAATTGATTTCAATTGTGGTTGACTAAAAATCAACCACATGTTGAAAAGGAATTTAGATCAATTTGAATTCAATGGCAATTCTGAATTTGATTACAAAAACAACTTGTTGCTTTTGGTATCCTTTAGTTTCCTCGATCCAGTTTATTATGTTCCATAGACTGTAATTACTTGAGGAATAAACTTTCCCCCTATCAAAACATGATATGAGCCAGAAACAACCTACCTTACTTAGATTTAAAAGACAGAGAAATGGAGAGTAAAACAAAAGAGCTCCTAGTCACAGATTACAGTGTTAATCTGTTCAGCTCATGTGCCAAAAACAGTTTTGGTGGGATTAAAGTTTCATTCCTCGAAGTCTTGTAATAAACCACCTCTGACCTTTCACCTGATGTAACCCATGCTGTCTGCTCCTTCCTTGTCCTTCCTTCCCCTCACCCCCGTCCTCCTCTCTCCTCCCTCTTCCTGGTCCCAGGCAAAAGTAGATAATGAGATCATTGATTACCGAGATTTAGCAGCCATTCCCAGAGTCAAGGCTATATATGAAATAGAGCATCCTGATATGATGTCTTATGAGTCTGTGAACGACAACTCCTCTACTTTGGACAACAAAGGCAACAGACAGGACAGGCAAAGCTGTGCAGAGGTAACGTCAAGTTTTTACCGGCCAGATGTTTGTGTCTCATTGTTTTGGTGTTGGTTTCTTGGTTTCATGTGGAAACCTATAATCAAACCTTTGGTAATTGTTCTTATTCCTGATTTGATAATTTTGCTGATGACTTCCTCTTATAAAACATTTGAAAGAGGCCCTATTATGCTTTTTAGGGTTTTCCCTTTTCTGTAATGTGTCTGATTTCTTTATGCCTGAAACGCCTGAAATGGACTCCTTTGTTTACTTCTGTAACATAGTGACATCATGTAACACTTGCGCTTCTATTGGCTAGCGCTCCAACACATTGTACGTGATAGGCTAAGAGGCGGGACATCTCTAAGTGGTTGACCAATCACAACAGAGCCGGCCAACTAACCAATCAGAGCAGACTGGGCTCTGGTTTAAACTTTTTTTTTTTTCTTTTGTCGTTCTGATTTAGTCACCAGGAAGCGTATCTGTAAACACAGAGGTGAATATTTGTTTTAATAAGAGCAGACGTATTTAACACACAAAATAATGTTGATTTGTTGTGCATTCACACTAGTTTTGTGTCCATCTTCTTTCAAGGAGAGTTTTGAAATCAGAAAGTCCATGCCAACATCTGCCAGCCAGGGATCGTTCGGGGTTCATTCACTGCACAATCGTCACAGCTACACTCCAACTCTGTCCAGATCACCGCAGCACTTCCACCGGCCAGGTGAGGAAAACACATCAAAGTAAAATGATCTGAATGTTCTTATCACCTTTTCATAGATATTAGCCCACCTCTGCTCACGTATTCTTTTGTTTTACCACCTTCCCTTATCTGCTCTGCTTCCACAACTCCTCCTTCCACTGCTTTCGTGGAATAACACACAGGATTGATGCTTTCTTCCTCTTTATTATCTGGCAACAATGACACATGCCCCACTCCCCCTTTAAGTCACAACTTTCTCCCTCACACTAAAGGTAAGAACCCCTGCTCTTCTGCCACCTTTACTGCATCCCTTCCCCCCTCCTGGTATTGCCTTACCTTTTTGCTTTCTTTTGTATTTCCTATCAAACACTTGTATTTAATACCTAACCCACCATTTTATGTTCTAAAGGGACTATGGTACGTTTGATAAAACAATAATTTAAGACGACAAAAGTTCTAAAAACAAACTGATTTAAGGTTCAAAGATGGATTTATTTTAGGACGGATGGCACAGAGATGTGATGTATTTTATTCTTATTCCACCATCTAGTGGTCAAATTTCATTGATCAATCGCCCACTGATCATCCTTTTTCCCCCCAATTTGCATATTTGACTTGACCCTACTTGTACTTTTCTCTTGTTCTGCCACCTCTCTAACTTCTTCCCCTGAAAGAAAGAATCCTTTAAATAAATCTACATCAAAGTAGGTATTTATAAAACGGGTTTGATTGATTAAATAAGTAAATATTCCTGTGCCTGTTCCCGACATCACTCACACATTCCTCTAAAGCCGTGCCTATTTATAGAAGTGCTGTGAAGCCTGTTTTATCATGTGTGTGTGGATGAAATATGAAAAGCTCTGACCGCTAATCGCTGGCATGTGTTTTTTGTGGGAGATGAAAATGCCTCACAAACTACACGGCCTTGATTTTGTATAAGGATCGGTGTATTGTCTTTATATTCAATAATAAGAAACATTAGATCCTTAAAATGATCTCGTTGATGTCTTCTGAATCTGTACAATAACATGAAATTACATTTAAGAAACATCTACAAAGAGGTTTTTGTTTGCAAATGTAAATGTCATTATTGCTTAAGCTTTTGGCAGTTCTGGCCTGCTTTTTGTGTTGTAAAAGTCATTAAAATGATTGTAGATATACATATACATTATGCTAATTCTGGTTCCAGTCCTTTTCAGAGAATGTCCTCCAAATTACAAGTTACAAGTAGTTACAGATACATACCATATTTAGACATTGAAAAAGGAAAAATGCACTACAGCAGGTTCTTACTTCCAATGTTCATTTATGTGTGTTCTACTGTGTGATATTTAACAATGAATCACCTGCTAACGTTGCATTTTTTTTCTATCAGCAGACGAAGGCTTTAATATGTACAGACGACCGCCAATTTATAAACAGCAAGGTATGATATGACCCTTTTTATCTTTTTGTCCTTTTTCAAAGTCAGTTAAAATGCTGCTTGAATCTTTTAAAGCCTCTGATTATTATCTTCGTGATGTTTCATTTCACAACACAGAGGTATTTTAATCGCCTGGACAATACCTTATTATATAATTTAGTCGTAAATCGAAAAATAGAGCAGTACTGAGAAGTGTGTTTTACAGATCAATTAGCAAAAGGCTAAAAACAGAACCAGGGGAAGTATATCTGAATTAGTAAATCGGATCTTATTTGCACAAAGAGCCGAGTCTGGCTGTAAGTCGTCTCATGAGGATCTAATCTGTCTGTTTCACTTTCACATAGAGCCAAATTCCTCCACATCGCAAACAGCCTCTTTGCCTGGATATGGTCGCAATGGCCTCAATCCGGTAAGAGCAACCTCACTGATACATAATCCGTCTGTGTGAACTATTGCGTGAGGCTACTGGGTGACCTTTTGATTCTGTAGGTGGAATTGGTGGCTCTAGAAACACATTATAAAAACCAAAGGAGGTTTGTCCAATTTACAGCAGTTACTATAATGAATGAATGATTGTTGTTTCCTCTGTGTGCCCCCTGTCGGTTCTTCTAATACAGCCACGGTCAGCTGATTACTCACATTACAGCAGTGACAGATTCAAAGGTAAGTATTTAGACATCTTTATTTTTATCATGGACTTTAGTAATCACTATAATTATTTTGGAATATTAATTCGTGTTGCTTTTTCTTTGCCTTTCCCCCCCCCCCCCCCCGCCTTCCAGACTTTAAGGTACGTGAAAATACTTTAAATCTCTGCTTTTGCTTTCCTTTTTTGTTTTCTGCATTTCTAAAGGACTGGCCTCACCACAGTCTGCATGAGCATGTTTTATCAAGTAACTCAATTGAATTCAAATCTGTAATTCTATAGCAGTGGCTACAGCTTGCAGAACTCTTCATTAATATGTATATTGCACGTATTACATAACTAACTCTTACCCCACATTTTACAAATATATCGTACTAGCAGTAATTTGGCCGTTTATAATTGAAGTGATTAATCCTATCATGACGTTTTCCCATTGCACGTGTTTGCATCATTCTGTAGCTCATCCATGACGGTCAACATCCATTAGCACGAATGGACAGAGGAGTGTCCATGCCTAATTTGTTGGAACTGAAAGCAAGTATTGTTTGTATATTCATGTGTGCTATACAAGAGTTTTCCCTGCAACGATGTATCATGTTCTGCACCTTCAGTACAAATAATACATACAAATAACAGAATACATGTTTCAAGGACAACGTCATTATTATTATCCTTTCACTATAATAGCATCACCCTAAAGACTGAGGCACAGTTACTATAGATACTATATGACGGTGGCCTTGAGGGTCAGAACACAACAACATATACAATACACATTATAGGAGAAAACACAACTCTCAGAAAAAACATTTTAGGAAAAAGATTAAATCATTTTAGTTAATGGTGGCCATGAGGGTCCAAACACAAACACATTGCCTAAAACACAACAATATTTCAGTAAATGATTTCATTTTTGTGAAAACGTTTTATTTCTGGGATGTTGTAGTGGTTTAGCACTCAGGGGCCACCGTACTATTTAACTACTATGCATGACAACAGTGCAGTGGTTATACAGGATGCATATTTGCATGGGACGTGATGTTCTAACTCCATCTGGTATCTCAATAGCTGGTAGGGAAACCACACAAACGATTGTGTTTAGGTGTAGCTTCTGCAAGAATCGACTATGAAAGGATTCTCAACCAGCCTTTTTTTTGTCAAGGTCTACCCGTATGAGCTGCTCTCAGTTGGTAGTCGAGGCCGAGTGAAGCTTCCCAAGGATGTTGACAGAACAAAACTTGAGGTAAAGTAACATTATTATTATTATTAAAGTGGATAAACATGCTGCTTAGCATTATTTTTTATCTGTATTAAAACACCTTCACTTCACATTTGCCGAAAGGGCAAAATAATTCTTAATTTTACCCTATAATAAATGCATGGCCTTGTGTCAATACTACACACATCATGCCTTACACCTACATGGTTGTTAATTAATTCCTCGACAGTGACATCATCTGCTGAAATATTTTTCTGAAAAACCAGTTGAAGACATTAGTTGTTTCAGTAGAGTTTTATTTTAGAATAGGAAATGCACCAAACAGATGATCTGTGCTGCGTTTCAACAGTCCATGTTATTCTTTACTGCTTTCCTTTGCAGCGTCACCTATCCCCGGATTCATTCTTTGAGGTCTTTGGCATGGGCCTTCAAGAATTTAACGTGCTTCCACTGTGGAAACGAAACAACATGAAGAAGCGGGCAAATCTCTTCTGAATGCTGCCTGATGCATGCTTTGACTCATTGTTAATATGCAGTATATATTGTGTTCTGAAGACCCCTTAAGTTTATTTCTAAAAACTAGGCACAGTATTGTGTTTCCCAGTTACTTTATGTGGGTTATTGTTTTGAATATTGTTCATATGTATAATACCTCAAATCAAAAATGAACGTGAGAACTCAACTTACTATAAGGCCTTCGCTAATAAATAGCCATTATTTTATATTTTCAAAGTCAGCCCCAACTCATTAGGGAATATGTTTATATTCGACGATACAGCTGTTTACAATCTCCAATTATCATAAATGCAACAGGAATTGTGGCTTTTTTGTGGCAAACATGGGAAGAAGAGACAGTTAATTGTTTCAAACCAACACTTTTTTCCATGCAGACAACCTAACCTAATCTTAACCTCTAAGATTTTCATTGACTTAACTTTAAACAATGTACAGTTGTTGAGTTCAACTCGATAGCAAATGGCTCATATTTCATTTAGTGTTGATTGTGCATTACGCTGGTTTATGATCAGTGACAACATTTTTAAAGTATGGGTTTGGCATTTTCACTTTTTTCTGAATTTGTATAGACCAAGCAATACATTTAGAAAAAAAGTGGCTAGGGTATTTACAGGCTGTGAAGCTAGCTAAAGTGAACTTGTCCTAATTAAAAGCCTTTGTAGATCATTATTGTACCCTTTCTGAAAAACATGTCATGATACCTGATGTATACTGAAGAAAAATACTGTTTTAGTTCTTTTTATTTATTTAATCACACTTGGTTGTCTCCTGAATACACAATTGCTTAGCTATAGCTTAAAATAAACCGTTTTGAGTGAGTAAACGCTCACTCAAATGTGCCTAATCGGACTTTGAACGATTAGGGTAATTTGACACTTTGTTTAAAAAAAATGTCCCCTGACTTTTTACTGTATGTGTTACCTCCCATCACACCACCTCAAGCGCCCTAAATAAAGTCTTGCACTTCTTACTTAAGTTGAGCAAATGAATGTTTCTTTATTGACAGAATGAGGTTGGTGAGGCACATGATTTCATTATTTATTTTTTTAGCATCTCCCAGGAGAATCTTCCAGTCTGGATCACCAACTTGTAAAAAAAGAAGAGACACTTTTTCAGTCAAAATCCGTAATAAGATATCAAGCACGGTAAATTATGATACCATGTATATCACATCACAAAATTACGGAGCACTTTACATTTGTAGTCATAAAGCTATTTGTTTTTTCCATTTCTCTTAATGTTATTCAGTCTTAAACCAACAGATGGTGCCATGGAGCCTGAAATCAAAACACCACTTCATCATTGCTTTGCATGTTAATAATGAACATTTGACAAGCTTTTTTTTTTAAAGCTTGTATTTCATCATTATATTTGCGAAATTATTTTTCTTTACTTGCATCTACCAAAATGTAGTGTTTATAGTGTAAAAAATGGCTTCAATCATAGTCCCTTCCATAGTAGCTTACTAGAACCATGAGGACACATGGGATAATGAAAGCAGATTAAATCATCATAAAGTGAATGACATTCCTGCTTTTTATCAGTCATTTACTCATCTGTCCTAATCGAATGAGTTGATTAAGCAATGGTTTTAAAGTGCAATTTCAAAGGGAAAACTATTAAGAGTTTAGACAATATTTTATGTAATATAAAGGCTGGTAGGCTAGGACAACTATGTGTATTTTATGGCTTTAGACTTTTGCATGCACACATCGCAAGAAAGATCAAATAAACATAGTCATACAGTGTTATCATGTTTATTTAAAAAAAGTAAATAGTAAAGTCTCAATCCATAATGCATAATTTTCATCTGAGGCAACAGTATCCAATGTACAGTATGGAAGTGAAAGAAAGAAAATAGTTGTTCTGCTTTTTTAGTTCTGTTTGAAAGATTAGCACAATAAACAAAAAACATGCAAAATACCAGCAAACAAAACATTATTACTCCTGAAAAAGGCAACCTGAATAAATGTATGTATTTTCAGTGGGGACTGAACAATATTATCTCAGGCTAACCTTGATAACATCACAGTTTCACACAGAAGTTGTTGTTTTTGTTATCATGGGCTCTTTAAAGCCCACCTAGCTTGAGCGAAAGCATTGGAGGATTACGAGGCTTTCTATTGGTCAGTTAACGCACACGCTCGGTTGTGGGCGTTTGTGATTGGTCGACGTTGCTGTCACTCACCACTCCACTCTCTCCTGAGCACCTCCCCGTCTCTCCACCAACTGGCTCAGGCGAGGATTTTCATCGAAAACATCCACCGCAGACTGCGTACCAGAGCCGGGGGGAAACGGTGCTACGACGAACGGAGAACCGACGCTATGGACCCAACAGCATGACAGCCGACTCCATGGCGTTTTTTAAAGTTGGTGTTTAGAGGCGTTAAAAGGATTCAACAGCAATGAATGCGGTATCACTTGTAAGATAGAGAGGGGCCAAAGTGGACTATCCCTCCCTCGGTAGATGCCTTCCGCCCGATGGAGGCTGACGGGACCTTTGCAGCGAGTTCGAGGCCCGGAGGGTCACCTGAGAAACACCTCGTTGCAGGACGCAATTAAGGACAAGACCGTGCACACCTGTCTGCGCTTTCGAGGACTTACTAGACAAGTTCTTAGTGAGCACAACAACAAAAGTTAGCTGCGGGAGGCGAACCCCCCCTGCACAAGATGACTATCATAGATATCACTTAGCGAGAGGTTACTCACCGCCTCAGGTAACACAGGACAGGTGAACAACGGTACTCTTTAAAACGGACTGCACACTTTTTAAAAGTCACACCAACTAATTTGACTGCGAGAATTCAGCAGGTTTTTTTTTAAGTTGTGTTTTTTACTCACCAAGAGTCAACCATGTCACTCAAAGACAATGCTTGTCGGAAATTTCAAGCCAACATTTTCAACAAAAGCAAATGCCAGAACTGCTTCAAGCCCAGAGAATCACATTTGCTGAACGACGAAGACTTAAATCAGGTGAACAAATAACATGTCATACTTGTAATTACTGTCTGTGTAAGCTATATTAATGATGCAGTGAAACCCTGTTTGTATCACTCCGTTTGATGTGCACATTTCAAATGGTTTGTCATGTGTCAATAGACCATGAAGTGCAAAGGTTAGATTAATTGGACATCATTAGTTTCCAGCCCAAGGGCGCATATTGACCTCAATTCATGCAGATATGGCTCCACCCAGCTCCATGCTTTCCACACAGTAGCTTCTATCAGCTGCTTATGTTGACTACTTTCAGTTACAATCATATCTCAGTTGTTGTTTTTATATTTCCCTCTTTAAAGTTCGTATAATGTCCAATCCTATGTGTATTATCCTAATTTCCAATGTCCAATGCTAGTTCAAAAATAATTGGAGACTATGAGGCTGACATAATCTTTGCACTATTAATCCAACATGAAGCTGTTCCAGTAATGCTTCCTATACTGGCATGCGTTGTTGACATTGGCAGGTTGTGAAAGTTGGCATCAGGGCAGTTGAACTCTGGCCTTTATTTGGGTTATTGCCTCTTGGTAAGCTGTTAACGGGACAGATCAAGAGTCCCCATTCTCCAGGCAGTTTGTGTGATGACACCCCTGATGCTTCTTAAATTGGCTTCAAGCCGACATAGTACTACATTTCCCGTAATTTCCTCCCTCATGACCAATGGTTCCTCTGTTGGGATGGAATTACTCTTGGGGGTATTTGTCCTCCTCAGTGGAATTTCTGACCCACTGTCTATCAACTTTATCCTTTGGTGACCGCACCCAGTGAAAGGTTATCATCAGCGGTCAGACACTGAAAACCCAGGATGTTTTAGCCAAGTTATTCATCATTTGTGTTCAGTGTCGATAAGATACTGAAGGCGTGTGCATTTTTCCTTTGCATATTTCCAGCATTAGTTTAGCCTCCCCACCAATACACCACTCAAAGCCCATTGCTTTTGGTGCAGTTTTACAGTCATTTATGATGTGGGGTAATAACACGTTGAAGGGCCATTTCCAAATGAACACACTCAAATGGCTCCGTTTAACCCACTGAAGCATTGAAGGGTTCAAAATGACCTAAATTCATCTTGTCTTTTCGCTCTTGGGAGGACTTTCCATTGGGCTTGCTGTCAGGTCACGTGAGGGGAGATGGGACACTTGGTCTCAGAGTTTCTACTTTGAAGAAGCTAGTGTCTCAGTATTTGTGTGAATCCCTTTGAACACTTACTGTTCTTTCTCCTAGTCCCATATCTAAGTATATTCGATGAGCTGCGATTCTTAGGGGTGCAAAGAAATATTGAGTTTTGTGATACTATATCAATCCCAGATTTCTAATAATTGGTCCAAATGCAAAGAAGTGAGAAGACAGTGGCCTATTTTGTGGTGTGTTCAAACCCCCATCTGCTAAATGCCAGTGATAGAGGACGTCCATCCATTTGACTATTCCACTCTGAGAAACGAAGAGGCGTAAATGGTTGTGTGTTCTATATATAAGGACACTTTTTCTAAAATTAGAGTTAACAAATACAATACATTCCCTTGCCTACAGTATTGCAATACATTGAATCGTTATCCCTGTATTGTGATATCACCTGATTTTTGAAAAATACACAGCCCTAGCAACTCCTATGCGTCACCTCTATGGTTGTCTTCCAAAAGTTGGATGTTGTTTCTCTTTCAAGTCTGCACACACTCTTGACTCACCAAGGTTACAGGTTGAGACTCCTGATTGAAATGTCCTGTTATGTCATTTTGTTTACAAAGTCATTGAGCTGAGAAATGTGCTGTGCCTCCTACAATCCAAGCGAAAGAGGATTTAATGGTGGATTATACTTGGCTTTACATGCATGGAGTTATGACTGTAATCAAAACCACTGATAGAACGACAGAGAGGTGCCAGGCGGCTGTAAATGTCAGAGCTTTTCCAAATTGATTTGTAGACTGTTGTTCCACAGACTTGGGCGTGCAGTTGGATTACGTAAGGTACTTAATTTGTTAAGCTCTTTAGGTGTAGGTGAGATTTGTGCATAAATATATTTAGTGGAATGATTGCCCCTGTAAACAAAACCCCTGCAGTGGTGTTGCAGGGATTTTGCTGGCTTTGTAAACAAATGCTGACTACTACAATGGCGAGTGTTCAAGAACGCCCCAGAACAATTTAAGAAAGACTGCCAGGCCAACTTGCATTTCTCAGTTTGAATTGCAAATCTGGAGCCACAAAAGCTCTCAGGCTCTGCTTCTCTCTCCTGTTTCTCCTCCACTGTTTTCCTTGCTAACTTCTGCCTCTTCGCTGCCCCCTCCACCCACCAGTCCACCCACTTAGAGGATCAGAGGGAAAATCATGTGTGTGTTAGCCTTTCCTTTTTTCTTTCTTCCCAGGGAAGCATGGCGCTCTGGAATAAAGCCAGCTGGAGAATGTAGCCTGCTCAAGAGAGCTAGTGACTAATACACACCTTCGTTGAACTAAAATCTCTGTGTGTGTGTGTAATCCTGTCTGATACTGGGCACAATATAAAGCCTCAACTATTATCCTCCAGTTTCAGCTACAAACAGTTCAAATGTGCACAATTAAACAGATAATCAATATGTTAAAGTGGCTGTTTTGGTGTTGTTTTAATGACTTTAATGTTTTTCTGTCGTCAGGCAAAACCTATATATGGAGGATGGTTGCTGCTGGCTCCAGAGGGAACGAATTTTGACAATCCGTTACACAGATCTCGGGTAAGTGGTGCCTTTGCTGGACTAGAAATTGATTATGGTTAGAAGGGAACATTTTTTGTTTCATCAGCTCTTTTTGACCTAATCATAATAAACATTTGGTGCTTCAGGAAAACAAAAGAGTATTCTTCAAAAGAAAAACAACCTTATTTGACCCAATGTCTATAGCTTTTGCTCGGTTCAGTACTTAGGATTTTGTGTTGTACATCTTTTAGTACAAAATGCCTGATATTCAGAATATTAAGGCTTCTCAAAAGGCAAGGGGGAAAAATGCAGTTTGCTCTCCAGCCCTTCTTTTAATTCTGTTATCCGTTTTGCTACTATTTTGACATCCAACAAACGGGAGGTCTGGTTATTGTGGCTCCTGTAGCTGTCTCAGCAGCTTCCTGTGGGAGGCTCGTCCCCCCTATCAGAAGAATCCACACTATCCAGCAATAATGAGCCTTATATTGACTTTATTTCATGAATCCTTGGCCCCCCCCAAACATCATGTAATGGGAGACGTGCTCTGTTGCACCGCTTCCTTTATCAGCTCCCAGATTATACTGTGGTGGTGCATCCCAAAGAGGAGTAGTGGGAATGTGGGGGAGGAGAAGGAAGGAGAAGTCCCAGTTCTCACAGCCACACTGATGGCTTCCATATGGGGTTTTGGGAAAAGCACCTCTGGACCCTTCCACTCAACTACTGTCAACAGGCTGCTGCTGCTTTGACATACCACTGATGTGTTCTGCCTATTCTTACAATCAGCTTTTCCCCGCTGTGTATAATTGGTGGCCTGTTGTGCTGAGGTGAGCAGGCTGGACCATGTTTTGACTGACCAACAAACAAATAACAGAGGGAAAAGAGCTGACGTGTTGGCTGAGTCATGTTTTAGGAGCACAGTTTGTGGGCCTGTGGTTGTAAATGTCTATCAAAAACACAGTGTGACGCATATCTATCACGCTTTTACTGGAAATGGCTGCAGTGACCCTTTTAACATCCCTTGTGGCGCGTATCAGCCGCCCTATTGAGACCTTCAGATGCCTTTTAGGTTGCAAAACACTTCTTAATATTTCATGGATTAGCCTCAGTTGGAATCGGATCCAGGGATATTTAATACTGAGATAAAACGGTGAGTTAGGATAAGTGGGGAGCAGTGGAGGGATCATCAAGCCAAAGAAGGAGAGGAGATCAATAAAAACGTATCATTGGCACGAATATCAGCAGAATTGTATCCAAGAAATAAAATGACTCCTTATTTGGTAAATTTGAGTTTACACAATATAACAGGCTTCACCTCAGTAAGATTGGTTCCATTAAATGTGTTTTGGGCAAACACAGATACTGATACTGGTCGGATAATAGTTCAATGTTGTTTGCATTAACACCATCCTGTAAGACAGATTCAATCCGCTGAGACATTACAGTAAAACTAAACGGGGCTTTTACTTACTGTATTCATTGTCTTGTATTTCCTCATACATTTTTAAAGAAAAATGCATCTTGAATTCCAGAAAGCCTGAAAAGCATGTGATGTGGTGAATGCTGAATGTGTGCCAAGAACTTGGATGCCACTGCATAGCAACTCTTTCCCAAAGGCTCGCCCGCACTTATGTATTTACTGTTTGTGTGAGCACCAGTATAGCGGCCAAGTCTTTATACCCTGAGGAGTACAGTATATAACATTAGCATTCAAGAACTTCATTGGAACATTTACAGATTAATTTACTAATCCAATTAATAACACCTGGCTTTATAAATATCTGTCCATTCTTGTAACACTGTTTGTCAAACTTTCCTGGCTAGCATTATCTGATGTATAATAAGTAACAGCTTTCCAGTAAAACACAGTGCTAAATGTTTGCACATTTCCACAGTGCTTTGTTATTGATGTAATTGGATGTGGCTTGCTGTTATGATATCTGTGATGTGATCATGTGAGTAATTCTAGCATTTATTTTTTTGTGTAATGCAGAAATGGCAGCGGAGGTTCTTCATCCTTTACGAGCATGGCTTACTGCGCTACGCTCTGGACGAAATGGTAAGTGAACCCTGACAGCTCCTGAGTTTGGTTTGCTTTGAAACAATTTTCATTTTAAAATGACTGAAATTTGAATAATGGCCTGCTATTACATACTAGCTGTTGGCTTGGTCTAGTAAATGATGGCTATGATGGCTTGAGTGGTCAAATCATCATCAATTACCGTGCATCTACACCGCCTTAAATGGCACATTGGCACAACTACAGTTTTTACCAATTATACTTGTAATTATTCCCAATGTCAGCACAATATCTATCAATTTTTTTCATGTGATAAGGACATGGGAAGTGTTGAGTTTGCTTGATTTACCAGCCTAAAATATCAACATAATTTGACGGAAAAATAAGAACGGATCATAAAAAACTTGGCAGCTCATTTAATTAATAAATACATCTGCATCTCAAAAAGGAGCTGGCTCTCTTTGCAGTTGAGTTAAATAAACAGGCCAAGATTATAATTGATCATTTACAGTAGTTTTCCCTTTTGCTTGATTCACTACATAAAATATCTCTAGACAGTTAAGTAGCTCGTAGTAATTAATTCATTTTGACTGGAGTAGAACATCTGATTTCACGCTTGTACGTTTCTGTTCATAAACAGAGTTTGCTCTAAGTGAAAGCGTTTTTCATGATATACTTTAAACACTGGAATTGTTTGATAGTTTTGGTTAAAGTGTAGTTATTTTGTCACTAAGCATGTGGTGTTTTTCTGAGGAATACCTGGAGCATGTGATGGTCTCACCAGGCGATGGCCACACCGTTAACACCAGCGCTTTCTCTCATACAAAAGAGAATTTTGTGAATGTGTTCAACTTTAAGCCAACTAGCACAGCGGTGTCAAAAGGAATGAAGTGACACCATATGGTGTTGATAATAAAAGTCATGTGCTGAGCTTTTTGTGTTTGTTTAGTTTTAGCTTATTGTGTAAGAGCCCCGTGCTATACTTCCTGTTCTTAAAGAAAAACTGGAAAATCCACTTGATGTCAGGAACACGGATGTCTTTAGTGAACATTAATGCAGTCTGATATATATCAATAGTTATATATGTAAACTGACTGACTGTTCTTATAGGTTTAAACACTAGGCTATATAGTTTGTCGGTTCTATATGTACTGCAGCATATAGGCACGCTGGATATTGATTGACCCGCTCCATTTTTTGTTCTATATGTGGATGGTGCTTTATAATGAGCTGAAAGCAGGAGTAGTGGATGCAGCACTTGCTTTTTTTTTTTTTTTTACTCTTTCATACTGTATGTGGCATTCTCTGGCAGAGGAGAGAGATGCTGGGAGGGTTTATGTAATAAAAGCAGCAGGAGATAGGCTGCCGTGTAGATTGTATTCATTACTCAACCTTCAGGGTCATTACACCCTCCTAAAGTAATCTGAATGGCAAGGTTAGTATTTGCACAGTGCATCCAATGGTGTGTTTTCCTATCTGAAGATATTATTGAACGTAACAAGCTAAAATACTGTTCTGGCCTGAATTTCGGCTTCAAACTGAATGCACTGGGGAATAATGACAGCAGAAGAAGCATGGGTGATGGGTTGTTTACTGAGGGGGACAAAGGAAAGTGGCGGATGTCCTCCTTCCATTCATCTCGCTCCCTCCATGTCACTCTTCATCTTTTCATCCCCGCTCTGAATGCAGGATCAAAAGGAGACGGGGGTTGCAAGGGTCTAGAGCTGGAAATATCAAGTGACACTAAATATAGAAGCTCTCTTGTCAAACCAAACGCATTAGAATAATTGTTTAGTGTTGAATACAGCATGCACAAAGTTGGCTAATGGGCATACGTATCCGGCACTCGTTTTCCACGGACAAAGAGGTAAACTGAATTTAATTGGTATGGTTAGTAACTGCGAGTGGCATTATGGGTTTTTATAAACTCTATACCTTTATTGAAGGACTTTAAACCTAATGACGTAAAATACTTTGCTGCAGAAACGTAGTATGAAGCTATTATTGATATTATTAAAGGTAGGGTAGGTAAGTTTGAGAAACCAGCTCGAGATCGCTAGAATTTGAAAATACACAACCGGAGAAAATCTGCCACTTCCTTACAGAGCCCCTCCTCCAACACACACGAAAGCGCACATGACCAATGAGGGCACGAGATAAGTTTGTGCCCCGATGGAAGGCTGACAGGCAGGTAGGCCATCCAGTTATTTTAGCCGGGCCGGCTAAAATGATTGGTCGTACTTTTTACAGTACCACGGCTTCCACAGATGACATTTTTTTATGGATTTTTTGTCAAAGCACTTAAGATATTCATTGCTATCGGGATGTTAAGAGCATTCCATGGAATATAACAAATTCCTCGAGATACAAAGTGTATCTCGAGCCGGTTTCTCAAACTTACCTACCCTACCTTTAACACTGGAGCACTTTGAGTGTGTGACTCTTTTTATTTTATTTTATATGAACATTTGAAACCCTTTTTTGCAGCATTGATGTGCAATTGTCCATTCTGGATGATGGCTATGGTTTAGAAATGTGATACCCAGCTATGTAGTATGCATACAGTTAATTTGTTAAATGCCATTTAATGCTTCAGATTGTTAAAATCAACATACAATACAATAACAGAGACCAACTTTAAGATCGGTTTAAATGGTGTATTATGAATGACATTAGGTCAAATCTAAACACTGCCAGCTTTCACCAGTATAACATCGCTCCAGACCACATCAGAGCCTCCATCTGAGAGCACTAGTTGGGGTTGTAGATGAGGAGGTGCCCCTCTGTTTTCCTCCCAGCCCAGTTTTATGACTCTTGTGTCTTGGCTGTAACCAAACCCAGATGCACTGCGGTCCCAACCTGCAGGATGTGGCACGACTCTGGGGGAAAGGAATGGGTTAGCAGAGGCCTGGGAGAGATCATAGTTCCTACAGCCATCGATTTAGGGTTGCCCACCTAAGGGGAACACCCAACACGATGCACCACTGCCATCATTTCATCCTAAAGCAGCTATGACTTTGAAGAGCCGTTATGTGCAAGAGACAAGTGGTGGAGAAAACGTAGCTTCAGTAAGAGCAAGATTGTGAGAAAATGTCTTCTGAGAGGAAGCATGTAGACGGTGAATAGCTGTAAATGTTGGCCTGCAATGAACATGTGCAGCCATGCAAGGCTAATGTTTTAGTACAGCTTTCATAGCTCATTCTTGGCATACAGTAGGCTTCCAAAGAAGGGAGTTAAAGTTTGTTGTGACCAAGATAATTCACTAACTTTGAATAAGAAATGACATAACTCTACTCCCAAAGTCTGCTGTCAAACAGGGTCTAGTATCTGCTGAATGTACAAGCTAGATTCTCCCAGAGAAAACCCAACGCAGTTATTTAAAGGGAGCGTTGTCAAGGCAACAGGTTTTGTCCCTTTTGTCCAGCAACCATTGACCATGGCATGTGTGACATGGGTCTGGGTTATTCTCTGTTTTGTGGAGGGCTCTGGCTGTCTCTGTCCTGACTGTAGGGATACAGGACAGAACGCTCTGGAATGAGAGCACGAGTGTGTGGGCTGAGGTTTTCTCCAGGCTCAGTCTTATGGTGAGCAAGCCTTTCTACAGTAGCTGTAGGAAATAAAATAATCAGACACAGCATTGAAACCAATGTGCAAGGATGGATCAGACGGAGTTTGTGCTGAGCTGCACATGTTTCAGTGTGTGTGTGACTAAATGCACCTGGGAATGACGGTGCTTGACTGCAGAGGCCGTGTCATGAACAGGTGTTGCAGGGTTTGAGAAACCCTCAGACTAAGCACTGTTGAGAGAAATTGGACTCATGTACTAATTTAGAGGCAAGGAAAAGACAGATATACAACCTGAACAGAGGCCACCTTAACACGACGGTGAGAATAAGCTGTTTTAAGTGATGGTGATGTAAGAAACACACATACACACAAAAAATCCATTATCACGTCGTGGTGAGGGCAGCTATGTGGGTGTAAAGAACTATCCGGCTCCACTTTAATGACATGAGTGCGAGTTAAAACGATCCAACACCCACACTCTAATAAGTGCTTTGCTATGTGGTCAGAAATACACCACACAACACCTAGCTCCCATTGACCTTGTGTTGACCTAATTGTAGCCTTTTCATACTGACACACACACACCAGACGCACACACCTCATCATATGATCTCGGCTGAAATATTTTTCTTTGCTATGTCTCAAGATCTGTTTATTTTGCAATGAAACTCTGTTATTATTGTTGACAGTGCATTGTGTTACACATTTCCTCATTATTTGGAGGCCATAGGAAAGAAAGTGCATTTTGTTGTTCACATTCTTGTCAATTAATGCATTTTAGTCCAGATAGTAGAAGCAGAGTATACCTGCAAATAAAATGAGGCTACCTATTGAGTTGCACTGCACAAAAGACCCATTCAGAGAACCTTGAATTGCACTTTGCCTTTAGACTGCATTGAGTGCAGTTGACTGCCTGCACCACAGCCATATTCCTTGTAAAAAGGAGAACATGATGTTCTCATGACGTCTTAGCTGTTAAGTCCTTTTCATTTCATCTTAGCTCAATTAATTTCCTGTGTTTACTGGAATTGAAGTAGTGGACCCAGTAGCACTGTCCAAGAACTGCGAGTTTTGAGAAACTTTCCTTCATTTCCAACACATTTGTGCATTCTTTTAACTTGAGGCACACCATTCTGCTGCCTCTCTCCTGAATCTTCCAGACATGAGCATATACAACCCAATGAGCAATGTTGGCATGTCAGGCTTGTAAGACAGTTTTCATGCTGAAACATGCATAAACTCTCTGCCTTCTCAGTGAACAAAATGAAATTCAGGACTATTTTTAACTGATTTTGAGTAGCTTTTCTCTTGTGTTGGTTTGAAAATGAGGGGAGCTTTCTAGGGAATGGATGAGTGGGCAGGGCCTCTTTGCTGTGTTGTTGCCTTCAGGCTCTCTATGCAGGGAATAAGTGGAGGCTGACCACCCCACCCCATCAAATTAGGGATACTTATAGGGGAGCTCCAAGTCTTGT